AGACTAAGTTAATCCATTTTAATGACATTCTATATAGTGATAAGGATTTTGTCAATACAGCAGTTCTTTCCATCTCTACAAGCCCGCCTGTATCCACACCATTTCGAAAGCCTTTGGAGTTTATATTAAAAAACGAAAAGGTTGGTGAACGTTTATTCTTACAGGTTTTTTGATGAATTTGGTAATGATGTTTATGTAATTCTTTTTTTTGCTTTCTTTAAGGATGGACAATTTGACAAGCACAAATGTGTATTCTTCAATACTTCCAGGTATGCATATGTCGAGTTAGTTCTGTTATAATGAGAGTATTTGGCGCCCAGTATACATAGTTTCATGTGGATTGTTAATTTAACGTTTATTCATTGATTCTCATTCATTGACCCTCGAGTCATTATTATTCTAGTCATTATTTTAATTACTCCTAAAATTTATAAACTTGTACTGATATACTTGTATGTTGATTGTATTCGTGTACGAATGTGACAATGATCGTGTACTGGCTACTTCAATTCTTTTCAGCAATTTTTCGTGATTTTTATTTGTTTTGTTTTTGAGGAATCCTGGTTCTTGGTCAACGACTGGTTGCGAAGTGTTTAATGTAACTAGAAACTTTACTGTGTGTCACTGCTATCACATGACGAGCTTCTCAGTTCTTATGCAAATACAACCTGTAGAAATGTCGGTAAGTCAAGTTTATTAATCACTATCGCTCTATAGGGACGCCAGCTTTGATGAAAGGAAAGAAAGTTTTCATAACTCGCTATTTGTTGACCGTGCATGTGAAAACCTTACTAAGCAAAGGCTATATATGTTAATTAGTCACCCTTTGAAGAGATCTCATTTTCGATTAGTGTGCATAGATTGTAGAAGTCGGTAAAACCTGTACTTAGTTGGTTACACGAACAACTCCCGTAAAACTTATTTATATCATTCTATTTCAGGATTCAGAGGAGTTAATATTAAGTTGGATCACTCGTGTTGGTTTGTGTATTTCGCTGGTGGCTCTTGGTCTGGCATTTATCACATTTGTTTTTCTGCCGTGAGTAAATCATGGTTATATAAGCTTTCGAAAAATCCCTGCAGAAGTACTTTTTAAAATAATATAGGTCATTACGTTGCTTGCATAAAAGACTTCATTCCAAGTAGGCTTTTCTACAGCAAACGTGTGTTCAGGATTTGGAGAATCTGTTTTTATCAATTTATTTAGGCGACCTTGTGGTTATAAATCTGGTTCGCAGTGTTTTAAATTGTGCGATCAAGGGTACAGGCCAACGTAAGTATTGTAGCTATATCACAGAATATAATGAGAAAACAGTTAGATTAGATCGATCATTTATTTAGAAAATCTTATGGAGAGATCTTTTCCAATTTGAACATATTTCTTGCCGCTCGCTCTAGCAATGAACTGAAAGAAAACTATCGTTGCAGTATATCAGAAGAAAATGTTTAATACGTAATTAATTGCGAGAAATATTCTCCAAGAATAGACATCATAAATCATCTGCTTATATAATATCACACATTCTTAGATATTTGAAAAAAGTTCGAACAAGTATTCATGCAAATTTAATATTATCCTTGGCTCTTGGGGAAGCGTTGTTTTTATGGGGAATTGAAAAGACGAATCATGAGGTGAATATTTGTACAAATGCATGTTTACTCTTTAAATTAGCAAATCATCATCCGATGGTAATGTTTTAGCTCCTCTTACGATTAGTATTCTTTAAGACTGAACAATTAGATGAAATAATTATGTTTGTTTGTTTGTTTGTGCAGAGGACGTGTTACGCTGTGGCAGTGGCGTTACATTATCTGCTTCTTGTTGCATTTCATTGGATGGCGGCAGAAGGTGTTATATTGTATCTTGTCTTGGTTAAAGTGTTTCAACGAAAGAGCGCCAATAAAGATAAAAGGATGTTCATGATCATATGTTGGGGTAATTCTAATTTTTCTTTATCGAACAATTCCATCTTGCGCAGGGCCGAGACCCCCGGCATCCCAGACGCGCTTCCTACGCCCCAGATCATGCATATGTATTATAAACTATAGATTACACAGTAAGACCTATAGACTTGATTGTCTGATTTTTTTGGAAGACTGAAAATTTGAACGTATTACTTTAGGTACACCAGCTGCTATTGTTTGCATTGCCTTGGTTGTGGGACATGAGTATTACCTTCATGACAAATGGTAGGACATGCTTTAGTCGTGTTTATACTCTCCCTGTATCTGACTAGATATATTTTGAAAAAAGTTCTAAAAACATTGATACTTCTATTTTTATAGCAGGAAGTTCTGGGTAGAATAGAAATAACATTGAATGTGCCATAAAATTCAGTCATGCTTCAAAACCAAGCACAGCTTCCTGCTTTTACATACAACTGAGTCGTATTCTGTGCCAGGATCCCAATATAGAAGATAATAGAATTATTTTTTACAGTTGTTGGTTGTCAATGAGTCATCATATGATATGGGGTTTTGTCGGTCCTGCTCTGGGCATTATACTGGTAGGTTTTATCAAAATAGATTTTATAGATACATTGGTAGTTGTAAATTTTTATTTCTATAAATCATGAGATAACTTCAAGTAAGTGCGCGTAGGTAATAAAATGTTGTTGAGTGATGATGTTGGTTTTTTTGAGCCGAGCTTTGGGCGATCAGCCTGCTAATGGGTGAAAGAAATATTATTTACAAGTGATAATTCGTTCCAGGTGAATATTTTCTTTCTTTGCTGCACATTCCGCGTCATGGGACGACGACAGAGTTGCAATAAAACAGAGAAAAATATGATGGGGAAAATTAGGTTGGTTGTATATTTTCTTTTTACATACAGTTACCCTTAAAATAGATATTTTGTTTCTCCATCACATAATGACGTGCCAAACAACTTGCCATACTTATTTCTTAAAATATAAATTCCTTGTTTGCAGATACTGGGCCAAAGGGGCTGCTATAGTTACCTGTTTACTTGGTATCACGTGGGTGTTTGGAGTGTTTTATCTGAATAACGAATCTGTAGTTGTTGCATATATATTTAACATTTGTAACGTTCTTCAGGTGAGTTCGATTGTTTTACAATTTTGTCCAGAGCGTAGCTAGTAATTTCAGCTAGTAATATAGCTAGTAATTTCATAACTGGTATATTTAGTTTTTCGTCGTTTTAACATTCACTTTTAATTTAGGGGTTATTTATATTCGTTTTTCATTGTCTCTTGGATGAAAAGGTAAAGTAAACAACATATGACTAGGCGTGAAAAGTGTTTGTTCACAAATCAGTTGATCAATTTTTTTAGATTGAATTTTCTGTTTACTGAAATATAAATACGTGCATGGTTTATATCTATCGAAATGAGATGATTCTTCAGCTATTTCAGGGTTGAAAATATTAATAACCATGCCTGAATAGTTGATCTGATGTATATCATAACCTGTTACAGATTCGACAACAATATTATCAAGTATTTTGTGCAGTAACTAACATTGAATCAAGATCTCCAAGTCATTCCACTGGCAATGGTAATAGAGGACAACGACCAAGCACATTCAATAGTTGGGTACGTTATCTTTGCCTGACTTCACGTCAATCTTTGGTTTCTATGTTATATCCATAGGTTATAGAGGGAAATTCAGAACACGTCATGATTCAACTAACTAATAATGCAAAAACATAAACAAATATATTAAAGTACGTAGCTATATCATGACGTTCACTTTTTAGCTTTGGTCCGTTGCCCCTATGAAGCTTCAAGACAGCAAATCTGAAAGTTGTCCAACAGGTGAGGCGACTGATGGCGGTATTCCATTTATGACCCTTAGGGTAAGATACAATCCAATCCAATTAAAATGAACTGAACCATTCAATCAATTATAGTTGCAGAAAACACGCTGAAACGAATGAATAGTTCAACGCATTCATTGACACCATGTATTGACCGACGGTTGATGGAAATCAAACGCGATGGTCATGGCACTAGTGTGAGACCACGTGGAATGAGTTCTATATATCATGATAGTGATGAAAATATGGTGAGTTATTTTGTTAACTCATATTTGCGAATCCGTCAGATATTACCTCCTTCGCCGGCCTTTTAAGAGGGCGTTGCATGGTTGCGGGCAAAAAGGTTTGGCGTCAGATGACGATGGTATAACGACCCAACATCAGGTCCTGGTGGTAGAAGAAGGGAGTTCATTTTTGAGACAGACTTTTTACATCTCAACTGCTTATTTAGCGACGCATAATTCGAAAGGGAGTAATGTTGAACATTTAATCCTATAGGAGCACACCACTCTCATCGAGGAAAAAGCGTGCCTTTTCCTCTCTCAGGAATTTTTCGTCGCACACGAGCGAATTGCATAAATATCTCCGTCTGCATTTTACTTTTTACCCACCACTGCAGTTCAGGTTCTAGAACTTGAACAAAATATTCAGGTTTTATATTGTAGAAGCAAAGATAACCATATTTCGATAACTGTACTTTTTTTATCAGGACAACATTCCTGATAATATTCTTACGGTGAAACATGGCTCAAAAAATAACAGTGGAAGACTGGATTACCAGGATGAGGTACTTGTCCTATACTCAAATAATTCGTTACAGATGCGTACTAGCCAACCTGAAATAAACACGAGGGTCCAACTGTCAGCTAGGACAAAGGGTAAAACTTTGATTAATGACGATGCTCGTCTGTGTGTTTCCAGGACACAAAGGTGTTTTTAAGAATATTGTTTGCCAAATTTATCGCGTGAAAACAGTGAAGAATTTTTTGAGATTTCTGAAGATACATGTGAAGATTGTCTTTATGAGATCAAAGAATGGTCAGAACAACGAGATAAATCAATAAAAGCGAACAGCTTACATGAACAGGATTTAAAAACGTCAAAAAACTCGCGTAGTTCAGTCACATCTGAGCATGAGTATTTAAATGAGGAAACGAACATGGTCGAAGAAAATCACGAGGAACCTGAGGAAAAGGAAATAAAGGTTGAAGAATCTGAAACAGTATATCTAATACGACAATTACACCACGTATTGTGTTATCAGGTGCGTATGAACTGCAATGAAGTTCTAATGAACTTCGGTGTCCCCTATTGTGTCGTCGAGCTCTACAGAACAGCACCGAAGCCATTTGAATGAACAAAAGCAATATGCCTTTATTCCTATAATAATAATAATAATAATAATAATAATAATGTTTTATCAGAATACTATAGCCGTTATTCTTTTATATTTAGTTCGTCACTATAGACTCTAACGGCTAAATTTAGGCGTACAATTTTAAAACTAGCACACTTTCTATTATCAAGATACAGTTTTCCTTTAAAAAATCAAACTTTTGTAGATTTTTCCAAACCAAAAAGTACGACATATGTAAACAGCAAATACGTCGTAAAAGTGACTGACGCAAACGGTACAGAATTATCGCCCACATCAGGGCAGAAATGTAAGTAAAAGTTTAGATCACGTCATCCCAAAATTTATTATAAAATATAAGGAAAGCATGCAGTAGAATATATTTATGCAGTTGCCTATATATAGGCTTCACCATGTGACTTATTTTTATAGTGCCCGGTCCAGCACAAGTTTAGAAATCTACATCAAGAAGTCTGTACACATAATGCGTTGATATTAATATCATCCAAAGGAGATGTTATCCATTTTGAAAAACATCGTTGATGTTCTCAAGTTGAGAACTGCCTCACTACCATGCAAACTCCGAGTGTTACGAGATCGAGCGTTAATTCTTTGCACACAATTGCATCATAATAAGACTTTCCCATTGAGTTAAAACATTTACAATGTCGGTCAATTACAATCGCTTATAGTTGTGATTATTACCACATTTCAGAATCCTAGAAACCAAGATTTATAACGCCATTTGAGCAGTTTTGACCGCCACTGTATAACTGGATGTATTAGCATTTATTACGTTGTAATACAAATGAATCAATTTAAACGTATTGGTTGAAATGCTTGGTGCATGATACAAAACCTACAAATAACTTATAAAACGTATGAAAAGTACATAGCTAAAGTATATGCTATCATCCAGTCAGGTGTTTCTGTTTCCTAATTTGCTACATCCTGCATATTTTTGTGGCTTTTTTCCTCAAAAGGCCAACTTTAGACTGGCTAATTCACATCTAAATTATAGCTGTTCCTATGGCTGCCTGGATGAAATGGCAGCTGATGAATAACGTGTAAAATATGCAAGTCACATTGTTCATCTCTCTCAATCATTCATTTTGCTACGACTATGTGAAGCTATAGTTAAGCCTAAGATCAAAAACAAGAAAATTGCTCTGAATATTACTCCCAATCATGACTTGTTGTGAACAGCAGACTGCCATTTAAAATTCATGCCGGAACTCCGAATTGCCATTCAAAAAATGAGATGCACTTTTCTGGGTATAATTGGAATCAGATTTTTGAACCTGCATGGGGCCGGTTGTATAAAACTCTTAACTACATTTGAAGTAGTTAAATCGTAGTTAACTAGAAAATACACGATTCTGATTGGCCTATTCTGCCACTAACTATAATAGTTAAACGTTAACTACTTTTTTATACAACCAGCTCCTGCTCGATATAACCAAGCCTATAATATTCTAGTTTATTACTATTAGCTATAATGCAGTAATATCATTCAAGTATTTATTTAGAATAATAATTTTAAAACTACGGCATAAACGGTATTGGCATAAAATACTGAAAACAGCGGTGGTGTGTAATATAAATACTGTAATTTTATTGTAACTATAAAGGTTTCAGAATTATATACTGTAGATATTTATCCTACATCAATGATAAACTATGAAATTCTTTAAAATATATTAGCTAATAGCTATAGCTGCAAGCCAGCAAGGCAAGCCATATGGTACCAGCCTTTCAAGTGGCTTGGTATGCGGTGTACTGGTCAGCGGTGCCGCAGACTGACAAACTCTGCAGAGGTTCTGCTAATTGCGAATACGAAGGCCCTCAGGTCGGAACGTCGAGAAGGGTTTTGTGTATTTTAAGCAGTTGTTATACCACATTTGACGCTAGATTTTTGAATTACTGGGTAAATTAACCTATACAGCAAACATTTTTTGCTTCGTTTTCAAGATGCTAAAATGCATTTTCAACCTAGAGTATATACATCAAGCCCCTTGTTTAAATTCTCTGAATATGTGGAGCTGGGGTGGCTTATTTTACCTGCATGTCAGCAATTATATATACTTGGTTTCACTGCACCTTTTTTTAACCATTCGTAAGCCAGTTTAAAAGGCACTTTCGGTCTGCAAGGATGTAAATCAAAGAGGACCCTTGTTAAACATTTTGACAATACAATGCTGTATTCCTACCCACGGACAAATTTTGTAAATAAATTATACTTTCTTCTTATTTATGCTTTTGGCGACTCATTTGCATCTCATTGTCTAGTCAGAATCTAGATTCATTGTTATCTAGATTGTGGGAATTTCCCATCTGCCATTCCCAACTTATAGCTATATTTTTGATCTCTTAGAAAAATTAAATTAAAAAGTGGAAAATAACTAAAGCTTAATAGTATGATGAGAAAGCATTATTGTTACTCTATGTTAGAAATAGAAATCAAAAACGAAAACGTTATTTCCTGTTGAGCGCCTTAGGTACTTTCCCTTCTGTGATACGTATCATTTTATATCGACAACGTCGAAGAGACGTCTCTTCCTTCGGCTTCGTCAACTTGCGTGTCTGATCAAATTTTTATGCTCTCAAATGGCTAGTAAACAACAGGTAATTTATGAAATGTTTTTGTTGGCAACTCCATAGTTTTGATTTATTGGATAGTGCTGTCCACCGGCGATATATTTACTGGCAATATAGCCCTATCCACCGGCACCGGATAGTGATTCTTTCGAAATGTTTGAAAGGCAATAAAATTTGATCTTTGGGACCAACAATTTTTAAAGAGGTCCTCAATTTAGGAATACTAAGATTTAATCAAAGTTATACCCAACAACGGGCGATTTTAAAACGATTGAAAAATAAATCACTATCCGGCTTTCATGCAATCGTCCCCTTATCCCCACGGTTTGCGAAAGGTTCTTCCGGAGCCAGCAAAATTTCGTAAAACCATGCAGTAACTGTTCGTAAATCTTGTTATCTTGAAGTTATCAAGTTAATATTGACGTTTATAGTCTGATCACAATACTATAGTAGCATCAAATGAACAGGGTCAAATGATCCCAAGCAAAACAAGATTAATTCAAACAAACGCTTTGTTGATTTTATATATCAACTAATTTTCGCATTTTATATGTTTGTCGTCATTTCAGTCCCAAAATTTGATTAGCTACTTAACTTTAAGATGTTAAAAGGGTGGTCTTTATTTGTTAACTGGTAATTATAAGAAACATCAATGATTCTCTCATGAGGTTTACGAATATAACTATATTATATTAACACCGGGACGCGGGGGTTATATTAGTATATATCATGATATTGAGATCTTGCAGTTAGACTTTCGATGTCTGCTGTTCAACATATCATCATTGTTAATTTTAGAGCGAGGAAGAAGATTTTGCTTTGGCTTTTGCTATGCAAATGTCTTTATATGACACGGAGTCAGTTGAAAAAAACGATTTCTCAAGTCAGTTTGATGAAGATAGGGCGCTCGCGAAAGCGATTGCAGACTCAGAAAAAGATTTTAGAGATAGAGGCCGGCTATCTTCATTTCCAGTGAACATTGAGGTCCAACAATGCTCTAAGGTAGAGTGAAAGGTTTTTCCATTTTTTTATAACAGCGATCGTGATAAATAAGATATTTTATTACCATTTAATTTCCCTGAAAACCTCGTAGGCATCGATAACAATCTTCCACATTGGATTGTTCTAGTTTTGTAACCTTACTTTCTTTTCTTTGGATGCTGGTTCTCTACGTTCGTCTTTATTTTTTGTACTAAGATCGCGTCTCTTGAACCAAAAACGAATGAAAAAAATATCATCATTCCATAACAAAAACTTTCATTATGTTCCTAGACACTTGAAATCGAGGGTAAACCAGCCCTAACACACCAGATAATAAATGGCTACGTCGATCATTGCACACATGGTTGCAAGGAATGCAGACATGCCATGCAAATGGCGCGTCTTACTGTCACAGACGCAAAAGAAGAGTGGTTTCGTAAGAACATGGAAATAACAGTTTATGCCGAACATTTCTCTTTGAAATTCTGGTCTGGTGCTCGGCAAAACAAAATCGTTGTTCAGGTGGTTGCAGGGTCGATAGAAGTCACAGTAACTGAGGAAAGTTGGCGGGCGTGGTTTCAAAGAGTTGTAAAGAAATCCTGGGATATTTTTAAAAATGTTGCGATCTTCGTTATAGATAAAGGGATAAGTATACTGACCATGGGTCCAGTCGGAGCTATTGCAGGTGCAGCTTTTAAGGCTATTGCAGAATAACTTTAACCGAAGCTAGAAAGGAATTGTTACATAAATTGAAAAAATGATATATCACCAGGATACAAGCGATTGAAGATTCGTACGTCAAATATATCTAGCAGACGTTTTGGTATTTAGTTAAATCTAGTGTGAAAGTCACCTTATCGGGTATGATATATGCTATTGTTAATTGCATGTCTAATACGTTGTTGTTTGTCTATGTCCATGTCCACGTCGTTGTCCTTTTCAATGCATGTGCATGTCTATGTCTATATATGATTATTAGAAAACGTAGAACATTTTTATATGTTGCTACGTGGTATTTTAAAATTACTTTGAACTGTACATGATAGAAGTTACGTTTAAATTATTATATTAGTAATATGATTGTATCATGCAGGACCCCACTAAAAAACACTTTAGGTGATTTGAGCATCTTGATATTATTATCATTATAATTATATTTAACCACTTAAATGGCTTCAGCCTTCATTTCACTAATATTGCTATTTGTCACGTTGCAGAAATAGAAATTATATACTAGAAATTATATCCTAAAGGATTGTTCTCTTTCTCCAATTAATTTGATGATTTTGAAAGATCTTACTGTATGCGCGATTGGATCTTATCGAACCATTTCAAAAGGTTTTCACTACTTTTTTATTTATCAAAGTTATCTTCTGGATATTTTTTCCGACATGCGTCAAATTCTTTTTTTCTTATGCAAGTGATTGCACAATAAAAAAGAGATCGAGAATAAGAATCAGGTTTATGACGAACTTGTCGTGAACTGATAAAACTATTGAAGAAACTATAGTCTCTTTGGCTGATAAGATTATCACTAAGATGCTTTATTCTTTTGCCATTGATAACTTTGTCATCATCTCCAGTTGGTGGATATCGTGTTGAAAATTTGTAGTCTAGTTGCCATACTGGATTTTTAATGTCTAAAGAGGGTATTAAGAAGAATTAAGAAGTTAATATCGAAGTATGTCTTTGGTAGAAAAATACATGGGCAGCGCATGGAATGGAACAGCAACTCAATTGTACTCTATGTGAAAAAATAGGAAATGTCATTTGACATGGCCATGGGGCATGGGATAGTGTCAGAACCTGTACCTATATTCAAGTAGTATTGTTCGTAATCCGTAATTGCCTGGAGAGACGGGTCAAGATTAACAATACGAAATGCCGGGTAATTTCTGTATGAAGGTGAAACAGATGGCATTAGTAGAACATAAGAGAATTTCCGATGCGAAGAATCTTTCTTCTTATCGCTGAGCAAACGGAAACTATCGCGGTGAAAGTGAGAGAAGATTTGCCCTGAAAAAGAAACAAATTTCTAAATATTGTGCAGGCGAACCTATTTTATACGAATCCAGGAGGAAATATAGCCAGCTTATATTCTCAATTGATTCCCTCACCTGCAACAACGTCGTTAAATTCATTCACAACCAGGTTGATATATAGATCAGTGAAATTGCTCATCCAAGTGGACATATGAACATAGATATCCATCCTTAATTATAAAAATAGGCACGTAGCGTACATGTGGGTACCTTCGACAGCGATTATGCTAAAAATTGCTATTATGTTAATCGTTCTTGAAAACGCGTATGCACAATTTATAAATTTTAAGCGTTATTTTGAATAAGCTAGCAGACTAAAACTTATCATAAAATCTGTTTTCCAAACACGTTAGACAAGGATATCTTTAAACTTCACATACCCGAGAGAAATATGGCTGCTTATAATAACTTTCTTTTTTGTTTTCCTAGCAATATTTAACTGCCCTTCTAACCACTTCATCTGTGTATTTGCCCTGTTTACAAAGTAATTCTTTGGTTTCCAAGCACTTTTTGTCCAGTACATTGTGTTTAGAACCAGCAAGTTCATCTTTCCATCTGTCAAAAATGCCAAAAAAAACAATCAATAAAGTTGATGCAAAATTTTCTCCTATAGTAGAAACCCGTAGTGTTGCAAGAGAAGTATATAGAATAGATATAGCGAAGACTCTTATGGCTATGAATTAAATAGGAAAATTTCACCTGTTCTTGCTAAAACTGCATACGAAACGACAAACCTGATGTGGACACCTTGTAATACCCTCCATAAGAGAATGTCTTTCGTAGTTGATCCAAAGATGTCGTCTGATATTTCATGTTACAGTTTGTACACAATATGCCGTCTTTCCAGATATTCAGTACATCAGAATACCATGTATCGTTCTCGCCAGGCATTATATAGTCACCTGGTATATCATTATTACCAATGACTGGAAAATAAGGAATATCGGGAAATACTGAGTTCACTTCACTCCATAACTTCTTTATTATTTTCAAAACCTGCTTTCTTCTGTCCTTTCTTCCCAAATGATGAGGAGTAGCATCGCCTGCATAGAAATTGTATTCTTAGAAGAAAGCAGTGCCTGGCAGTTATTCCTTTTCTTTCCTGTCTTCTAGCTAAATATTTAAACCAACATATTCTTCCTCCTAGCTTCATGTAAAATCTTTCACCTGGCATCAAAATGAACTCTGGACTTTTTGTTTTTTGTTTCATAGCGTACAGTACACTTCGAAGCAAATTCAATGGCGCATCACATCCAATCCTGCCAAGGCTACCATAATCTGCCTTGTGAGAACTTTTAGTGTTTTTATTTCTACAGAATTGACTTTTATCTCCAGTCTTCTTATACATTAAATCTAAGTGAACATCAGTGAACAATAGGAATGTTTCAGACTTGTTTGCATTTGAAGTGAAATGTACTTTACTGGTGTCTTGTTCGTAACTTTTCAAACTCTTTCCATACTCTGATAGAGTTAAGATAATTAGGAGTCCAGCGTTGAAAATCATTTATCAAATATCTGCATAAAAATATAAACCAATCATTAATGCAGAGTTTGGGCTTCGGCCCCAATGTCTCAGTTCACATGCACAACTAGTCACAACTAATCATAGCTAGTCACAACTAATCACATCTAGTCACAACTAATCACAACTACTATATATGACCTGTTCATGCATGGAGCAGGTTCCCGTTCAGTTGCGTATTTAGCCAAAATAAATAAAATTTAAAGTTCACATTTGGATATATCTACATATTTAAAGTAATTGCCAGATATGAATTGTAAAATATTCTTTACTTTGAATTTGAAATTTTTACTGCGGTATAATTTTTCGACTAACGACAACGCGGAATTCGCAAATGTTACAGTTTAAGTTTCGTCACAGCAAGAGACGATTGTAAGTTTAATTAACTTAGTGAAATAACAACTTGTAATTTAGAAGAAAAAAATATCTCACTTTCAAAAAAAAATTACTACGACGGATAATAATTGCAAGATCATTCAGGTAAAATGATCAAATATATCGACATCTCAGACAGTTAATTGTACGTACCAAAGTATAAATACCAAGAAATCAGCAACTGGACTTTAGTCAGTGCACGAATTACATCGTCGCAGCATTTCCTTTCAACTCCTTATTATAGTTACTCTTTTTTGTTACGGTTACTCTTCGGCCACAAGGGCTGTTCCTGTGATTTATTCAATATAATTTCACCTAGGGCCGTCATGTTTTAAACAAAGATATAATGGGAAAAAAATACAGCCACCTGTTGAACATATGCAACAGTCGTTTGTCGAAAATTTGAGGTAATTTAAAAGCTTTTTCAAAATAATTTGGCGAAATCTTCCCTTCAAAACAGAGATTCGTATAATAATTACCATATTCAAGACCAAACAAGGGAGAAATTGAACCTTTCCAACCTCCTAGGCTGAGGACTTCGGCCTACACTCGCATGGGATGCCACATCTATCCCACTGCAATTCATTTTAAAATTTCTTACTTATAGTGAGGGGCTGCATGAGGTGTTGGACATAATAAATCTCTCATTGTTTGAAATCATATCGTTTATTGTGTGTGTAATAATACGTTATACGTACGATATTAAAGTGAAACAGGTAAACAATCGTGTACAAATAAAGAAGAAGTCACTACATTATATATGAACGTACGCAGGAGCTAGCTCAACCCTGGCTCAACGCACTGGCCTAATTTAAGCTTGAAATAAGCTACCAACACTTATAGTTATATTTATATCGTCGACATGCAGTAAATATGCCGTCATAAGAATGGTAATCCGGCCTGTCGAAGTACACTTTATCCATCACAAGTTATCTTTTCTATCGCATGAGATATTTCTCAGTTTTTCATGCATCGCAGATGAGCTATACAAACAGATAGGCTTATCGCTTATCCTTGTCTATATCGAGTTGGCTGTGAAATAAATCAACTTCCTAATGTTGCTAGGAGGAATGCATGATATAAATACGAAAGCGACAAAATGTATTCAGTTGTTGAGAGTTGTTGAGAGCTAGGGTGCATTTATTAAATCAAAGTAGCTAATTGAAAAAACATGGCACTATTATCCGCCCTGTACAGGATACTTCGTGTTGCACGCATCATAATCTTTCTGACTGTAATATGTCACCGCGCAATAATATTTGAATCGAGAAAAAGAATCAGGTTGATAGCGAACTTGTCGTGAACTGATAAAACCAATGAAGAAACTATCGTTTGTTTGGCTGATAAGATTATCACTAAGATGCTTTATTCTTTTGCCATTGATAACTTTGTCATCATCTCCAGTTGGTGGATATCGTGTTGAAAATTTGTAGTCTAGTTGCCATATCGGGTTGTTAAATTCTGCAGAAATAACGGTATATAAAAAAGAACTCTCAGGTTGGATTTTCATGTTTTATATACACACTAATCTCTTCTGATTGCCTTCACGAATACTACCGACACTGAACTGGTCTTGGACAACTGGTGAATTTGTACAATTTTTAAGAAATCTACGCTACGCTATATATAGTTCTGTGTATAGGCGTCAATCACTCAATGAATGGCTCCCCGGACTCTACAAGTCAACATTGTGCTACGGCTTGTCCAACATCGCACCCAGGGTCTTTTTTGCGCGGCTTGTCTCCCGAGATATGATATAATCATTATTTCAGATATCGTAAATTTTCGGAAAATCATGCACGTTGAGCTCGTTATTTTTTAAGTGTTGTAACAAATCTCAAGCATAGTATAATCTCACCTGTTATAATAACAAGATTCATGTAAAATTGTTCGTAATCAGTGATTGCTTGACGGTCTGGGTCCAGATGAACGATGCGGAAATTAGGATTATTTTTATACACAACAGATACAGACGGCATTAGCAGAATGTACGATGACAATGAATCGTTTTTCTTGTCTGCTTGGAGAAAACGGAAACTGTCTTTGTGGAAATGGGCATAGATTTGACCTAAAAATAAAAGTATATTAACATGAGACAACGTGATCTTTTTAACGCATAATTTTGCTACTTTAAAAATGCTACTTTAAAAATGCTACCTCATATAAAAACTTGGCAACTATAAGTTAACGGGATTTCATTACATTATATCTCTTTATTACGAACCTGCCACAACTTCACTAAACTTGTTTGCAACGAGATCCATGTATAATTCAGTAAAATTACTTAACCACAGAGTCTTTTCGGCGAAGGTATCTATCCTAATGGACAAATTACAGATGATTACAAAGTAGTTCTTGGCACAAGCATGAAGACTTTGTAGCTACATTTTGAAGCCATTCCCTAGCTGGCAAATTTAATTCAAGTAAACGTCGTTTCAACGCCAACATGGGTATCGCAATTCGAAGACTATCGATCAACTTATAATCAATATTCGTCTTCCACATTAAAGCTCTTTGGTATTACATTATTTGCTATGACAAAGCACAGTCTAACTGATAAAGCTAATAACGTACCCAGGGGGTATATGGCTCGTAATAATAACTTTTTTCCCCGTCGAATTCGCTAATTCCAACTGTTCTTTTAACCATGCTATTTGTTTGTTTGCTCTCTCTTGGAAATAATCAGCTGATATCCAGGTACTTTTAGTCCAATACATGGAGTTCAGAACAAGTAATGTCATGCTCCCATCTAAATATATCGACATGACAAAAGTGATGGAAAGACGTTATGGTATATGTCACGAATAAACAAAATAGAAGAAAAAAACATGCACACGGCAGAGTTTTGTATTTTACAAACCTGCAATCGACACCTTGTAATACCCTCCATATAAAAATGTCTTCTGCAGTTCATCCAAAGACGTCGTTGGATACGACCTTGTACAGTTTGTACACAATATGCCGTCTTTCCAGATTTCCAGGAGATCAGAATACCACGTATCATTCTCAGTAGGCATTACATAATGTCCTGGAAGATCATTGTTACCAATACTTGGAAAATAAGGAATGTCCGGAAATGCTAATTTGACTGCTTGTGATGTTATCTTCATAATCCCAAGCGCGTTTTTCCTCCTGTTTGTTGTGATTCCATGAGCACACGTGTCACCTGAAGCAACATATTTGCAAAAATTGCCGTACTTTTATATTTAGAGCGACATACAAGCAAGTTTATTAGCCTATATGAGATAGTTTCGAACTTTTCACTATCCTTGATTATGGGAGAACAGGATTGAAAACGTACCTGAGACACCTACCTGATAGCATAACAAAGTCCATTTTTGTTATATTTTTTGCTCGAACACTCTTCATGCCATTCAATACTTCATTAAGTAACTTCAAAGGTGAATCACAACCCGGTCTTCCATACGAAGCATTGTAAGCGCTTTGTATACTCGTATTCCTACAGTACTTGTCTCCAGCCATAGCTTTGTACCATGGATCAAGGTGGATATCAGAGAACAGGAGGAACGATAAGGGGTTATTTGTTTGAGATGTGTGCTCGTTTTCATCATCATCGCATTGCCATTTGAAGGCGTATGTTAGAGCGATGAAAATTACCACCCCAATCAACAGAGCAAATAATATGAACACCAAGACATTTCCGCGAGAACATTTGCGATTGGCACTTGTCTAAAAAATGTCAGAGAAATTTTCTTCCTGTGAAACTTTAAGACTTTTAATGTTCGACCTTGTTTGCACCGAACATCGGTTAACGGACATGACATCGGTTAAGTTGTTTTATGGTATCTCTATCCTCAGAAGTTTTTCATTTAGCAGATCATGTTAATTAAACCAATCATGCAGTATCATACTTTTAGGGTTAAACTCGCTTTTATATGAGTTCATTTCGATGTCGGGGGGGGGGATGTATATTCATACATTCGTCTTTTGCCCGACTGATTTCTTTTGTACCTCAATATGCATGTATGAACATAATAAATATATAAAAATACAGCCTCCCCCCTAGCCTGCGGTGAAGACGCTTCTGTGTTCCTTTGTATTTCGAAGCGTCTGCACTGCAGGCTACCCCCCACCAATTAATTAAGCAGTCTTGCAACGGCTCTGATTTCGAAACCAGCATTTGCCACCATGACGGCATGACCAGTGACAGTGACAGTGTCAGTACTGGATGCGGAATAGCCTCAATATCTTGTCTCTTATGACATGTCCTACGTACATACTATTATTTAACAAACGCGACTTGTCGAGCCATCAAGGTATAAGAATATACGCGTACAGTCGTTAAAAATGTGTTGTACATCAAAATTAACTGTGCGCATACTATATTGGCATACGATATAGAAATATAGTCAAACAGGCGGATGTCGTATTTTAATAACATCTTACCAAGTACTAAGATCCTTTCATTGTGATATGTGCGTATGTAAATACGGTAACTGAAGCGAACCCTGATGCTTGTTGACTATTGTGGTATGCCGAGAACTGTGTTTTGACGAAAACCCGCAGAAGAATTGTCACAGAATTGTCAGTACCATGTGTAGTATACTATATGACAGTATACTACAGAATACCACGCCATGCATTAAAGCACGTTTCGGCAAATAAACCCACACTTTCAATCTTCAGAAGTCCTTGCATTCAGTTCTTTATATATTAGCTGAAGTGAACTCTTAATGCATTATCGAAGCTGGAGACATATTTACCCACCTAGGTAGATAATATTAAATGATAATTCTGCATCATCATCTCTAGCTGAAACATATATATTTTATGTTGCAGGCTTCTAGGAAGATGAAAGCGTCTTTCCTACAGCGTCAGCTTGTACTAGTATAATTTCAGTATGAAAGTATTTAATTAAGTTTATTCATTTAGTGACGGTCACACAAATAGTTTACTTCAATTTTTAGATATATACAATATGTTGATACAGTACCTTTCCCATGACATTATAATCAAAGTTGTCAGCCATTCTTACTGTCCTGAGATGTTATATTTGATCACACACAGTTCGTAAGTAAATGATAAGACACGTCTGTTCAAAGCGCTGCCGTGTTCGGCCGTTGTCGTATTATTTGAAAGTGAGCGGTGCAACCAAGCGCCTAGTCACATGTCTCACTGTGAACGCCATGTACTTCATGGAGGCAGGGAAAAGCTGGAGTAGACTAAAAACCCTTAAACAGGAAGTATCATCTTCACGAGGACCCTAATAAACCCTGACCTCATCTCCCCCAAGGCCCCATACTACCACTCTATTGCGCTAGATTGGTTAATCTGAGTTATTGCATTTGATTGGTTCATTGTGACTTTCTATAACCGGGTATTTATGGTTCTTATGAAAGAGATCTTTCTCGCGTGTTATAGCGCCTTCTGTAAATCTAACCAATACTAAAAGCCCCGACTAATTGCATTGTGAAAGGTTCTTTCATTCCTTTCTGGCTTTCGTTTGGCTGATTTGAATGTTTGCTTTATAATATATATATCTGACAGGAGGACAAGTAGATTTGACCACAACGCTACCTTTGAGGAAACATGCAGAGTTGCCCAAGTCGACTACCGGAAGTTAGAAGTTTTTCATAAAAGCGCTCAGCATATTCAGGACGCCTCTATTGAATAATGCGTATGAATTATGAAAACCTCATTACGACAGCATGAAGAAACATTATTCAGTCAAACACCAAACTTCTAAATTCATTAGGTGTTCTTACTGTTCTATCAAAATTCATCGTTAAAATGATACAAGTTTCAAAACGTGTTTACACATATTATGGAAATAATGGAATAGATACTTTCTATATCAACTAAACTTACCCCCATGGTCATGAGCGTCCAAAGAAACGACAGCAGATTTTAAGAGTTACAAATTACAAATAAGCAGTTAAATAATGAATCCCGCAGACTAGATAGTCTAGATTCAGTATAATTTGCAACCTTGTTCCTACTACCACCTGACCTACAACCAGAAAAATGCTAAAATGAGCAGAATTTGTCAATACGCGGAACGGAGTAACTTTACGTGGAAGAGAGGTCATTTACGTGGAAGAGACTCAGTGGGAAGAGAGGGTAACAAGCATTGGTAAGAATGGATAATAAAGGATAATTAGCAAAAAGAAAAAGCAATTAAAAATATGTTTACAATCCATTGAATCCAGTTACAATACATTACAATGCAATAATATTTCCAATAATGCAACCAATTTATATGGCGGGTAATAATACCGACATTGATTCTGGCGCATATTTATATATTGCAGTCGACGTTGGCACAAGCAGTGTTCGGACTGCGGTAGTTGATAGAGAAGGACGCATTATTGAATATTCCTCAGAAGATATTAGCATTTGGCAACCCTCGCCTGAGTTGTACGAACTATCATCTGAAAATATCTGGAAATGTTTATGTTCTGCAGTAAGGGTATGCCACATCAAAATCAATAAACGAACATGTACTGCGAGTCAAACAGATTAAAATTTAAAATTGACATCGATGGTCAATTAGACATTAATTGACGTGACTATTATCACTAGTAACAGACTACTAGCTGTCATAATGTGGTACCATATAAAATAGTAACCATTGATCATATGATTAGTATTAACAACCCATGGTGTTTTGGTACCACAACAGTGACTGATATTCTTACTGTCAATGATTGTAACCAAACCTAACCTTGTAACCACCATATTAAAAAATCTTTCAGACCAGATAAACCATTGAGCGAACATGAACTAATCAAATGCAATAAGTCTATCAGATTAACCAATCATGATCACAATAAACCAGCAAGCTTTTTAATGATTCAGGCTTTTTGGACATTATTAACAGAAATAAATGATTATTTTTTAAATAGAAAGCATGCAGCAAGGTTAATAAAGGCAACATTCGTGGTATCGGATTTGATGCAACATGTTCATTAGTGGCTCTTGACAAACATGGCAATCCTGTGTCAATTACACCCAACAAGGCAACCAATAGAAATATTATTTTATGGCTTGATCACCGAGCTGTGAAAGAAGCTGAGATTATCAATACTACAGGACATGATGTACTTAAATTTGTTGGAGGCAAAATTTCTCCAGAGATGCAAGCGCCAAAAATTTTATGGTGTAAGAAAAACTTAGAAGAAGAAAGATGGAAGGATATTTCTGTCTTCTTTGACCTACCAGAATTTTTGACTTTCAAAGCTACTGGTTCCTATACCAGGTAAATGTGATATTTATTATATCTGTAGTATATTACATATACTGAACAAACATCTCCAAATCTTTGCTTATGTTCAGTGCATTTATGGTAAACATGGTTTTTATATGTCATGGTTGTAAATCTTTTGGTCATGTACAATGCATCAAAATATTTAAATTCACTTTGTAGAAACAATATTTACACTCAGAATGACTGGCATATTTGTTTTGTTGCTTGTCTTCTAGATCTTTATGCTCGTTGGTCTGTAAGTTTAACTACATGGGGCATTCTTCACAACAGATCAATGGTAAACAATTCTGTTCTTGCTTGTGATTTCCATGCATAGACACCCAATTTTAATCATCTACATGACCTTTCAGGTAATTCAGGTTGGATCCCTTCATTTTGGAGTGGTATAGGCCTATCGGAATTTGTTGAAGATGATTTTAGAATATTAGGTAAAAGGTTAAACAAAAGAGTTAAGACTTCAATGCTTCATGCTTCTTTATTTATTTTGTTTTGTAATTTTTGTCGTTATAGGTGGCAATTCTGTCTCTATGCCAGGTAAACCCCTTGCTCATGGACTATCAGTACAAGCTGCTCAAGATCTTGATCTACCAACTGGGTTACCTGTGGCTACTTCATTAATCGATGCTCACGCTGGTGGACTGGGTACAATTATATTTCAATAATAATTATATTCACAATCTCATAACCAGAGCCTGCAATCCTCCTTGTTATATAGAGAAAATGTCATTATTCCACATGTTTTATAGGCTTATTACCAAGCTAGGTAGCATTTTTTGGTAGGTATAGCTAACATTTATTGCTTGATATTTTAGGGGTAATTGGTGCAGCTGTCAAGAAGGAACTGTCATGCGAATCACTCACATCAAGATTAGCAATTATTTCTGGAACTTCTAGTTGTCATATGGCAGTATGTATGTTAGGTTTCAACCTTATAACAAAGTCTTGTTTCAACAGGTAGAAATCATCTCGACGGTAGAAACTCTGCCCCTGACATATTGAACACAGATTAACATTTTGAAATCACCCATTTGTTCTATCACAGCAGTTCATCTTTTTTATCACAATCTCATGCATCCAGGTTGTACGTGTTAAATATCATAACTCGCCCGAATAAGTTTAAACTTATCTTCTTTTATTTCTATTTATAGATAGACGAGCAACCTTTGTTTGTAGACGGAGTATGGGGACCATATTATTCAGCTATGGTGCCAGATTTATGGTTAAACGAAGGTGGTCAAAGTGCAACTGGGAAAGTGGTAAGTACTGTTCTAGAAGGCTGGTATATCCCAGCATACATGTACTAGCTGTATACAGATTAAACAGTTATAATCATTAAGACGTTATTAAGTTTACTGAAAGCATCAAGGCGTGACTTAGTCAAACGTTCATTGTGAAGTGAAGGGGCTCGAGAGAGGCAGTGTAAACTTTCATATATATCAAATTGTGTAGTATTTGGCAGGGCAATGATAAAAACAACAATATGACAATATGAGGACATTTGTACTCATTTGAGCAACATTATTCCCCAACCAAGCAGCCAATCCTCATCATTAGTTGTTACATGTAGATCGATCATATTCTTGAAACACATCCTGCGTGGACCGAACTTGTAGAAAAAGCAAAACAAAGGTAAACTGATTTGACTTTGTTTTTGTAAACAAATTGTTTTGATCCTAGTTAAGTCTTAATGTTTTCAAGTAGTCAGGAAATTATAAGATATTAACCAGGTCCAATCTGATGATATTGCGTGATCTTCTATGACATATTTCTCGCACATTCTCAAGTTTTACTGGGAAATTCCTGTCACGGAACATTTTTCTATGTAAACCGAGCTTCATAAAAAAATTCTTTTGACAAATTTCGAAAAGAATCGTGGTCATAATGGAGAGGTGATCCCCGAGTCGATATTGTGATATAATAAATTGAAATCGCTATTTTTCTCAAAATATTCAAGCGCGTGTACGGTGTACGAAAAGTTATATAGTATTCTGGAAGAATCTGCGCAGGACCAGGAACATTATGCTTTGTTAACTAATGACTATCACGTCTATCCTGACTTTCATGGTAACAGATCACCAATTGCAGATCCAACATTGAAAGGAATGGTATGTATAGCGTCATTAGCAGAGGCTGAGGTGTAGACGTAGTAACCGTATTAAGGATGATTCGAGTCGACTGTTTGACGCAGTAAACATGAACTTCAAAGTCGAGACATTTGATCCCGTAGTTTGATAAGAGGAACCTCAATATACAACTTCCACAATTTCACAGCTTGTTCCTGGGGAACTTGAGTTTTTATCGGAATAACAATGCACTATGAGATTTCTATGTTATGCTAATATAAATGCTAAAATGAACTTTTCTTTTTTGTTAGGTGACAGGGCTAACTTTAACAAATGATCTCAAAAGTTTAGCAGTTTTATACTTGGCTACAATACAAGCTTTGTCTGTGCGTATTACAGTGTAACTGTTGAAGATAAATTTCAGTTTGTTTTAATTCGATTTAGATATTTAATTTTTAAGCACTTTTCATGCGTTTACGGAGATTTTCCTTGCGACAGTAGTCAGTGGATAGAGGCCTGATAGAATTTACTGTCGCTAAACACCTGTGTGCTCTTGTTTGCAGTTTGTGTAATCTGTAATTATCAGTGATACGAGGTCAAATCAGGGCTAACTTTTACACTACGTTTTTTCCAGTGTGGAACGAGGCAAATTATAGAACGTTTAAATTCATGTGGGCATAATATCAAAGCAATATTTATTTGTGGTGGACTTTCCAAGAATCCTTTGTTTGTTCAATGTCATGCTGACGTCACAGGTGAACGCACATGCAGTGAACATTAATTACTTTACGTTTTTCTTACACATTTTACGAGTAATAAGGATATTAATGATCAAAATGATGTCAGCTGTATAGTAAACTCGCTTATTTTATATGTCATATGCGATTTCTTATGTTTTGAAGGTCTTCCACTCGTTTTACCACGTGAAACAGATTCGGTGTTGGTGGGTTCTGCGATTTTGGCAGCGTATGCTGCTGGTGATTTTAAAACAATGAAGGTACGTTAATTTCTGTAACTTGGAATAAAAAGATCATATTATTGATCGTGTACATTTCTTCATCTATTTATAACATAAGTTGTTTACTTTAGGATGCAATGGCCTGCATGAGCTCGGCTGGTAATGTTCTTCATCCGAATTCCAGTACAAAAAGGTAAATGAAATTTATCTAAAAATATATACATAATCGGAAGCTAATCTCACATTTTGTGATCATTAGTTCTTAAAACTTATTCGGAGCGCCCCTCTGTTATTCCAGGTTTTATGAGAAAAAATATCAAGTATTCCAGAAGATGTATCAAGATCAACTCGACTACCGTAGGATCATGTGTTCGTATAATTTATGATTAATTTATCAAAAAGATTATTGCGTTATGTTAACTGAGTTTATCATGTCCTACATTAGAAATTGAATCAGAATGAATTTTATTAACAAACATCTTATTGGACGAAATATTTTATGAATGATATTATTACGTTTTCGGATACGAAAGGTGGGATTAGTATGAGTTCTGACATTTAAGGATGCTAAGCGCTTCCCATTCGAAGCGCCTCTGAAGCGTTTTTATACGTGTGCGTAAAGGAAATGTTTAAATCTTTGAAAGAACAAACACTTATCCTTTTTACGTCATAATAGAGAGGTGGTGTTATTATAAATTTTAATAATGAAAGAAAGCTTGAAAACGATGACGTCTTGTAAGATTTATCATCACCTGAAACGTTATGTTGATAACATGTATAAACCACATGATAAATAAATCGTAAAGATAACCTCGACGTTTCGAGCAAAAATCTACACCAGAGCGTTCCATTTTCATGCATTTTTCATCGAAACCACTTTTCAAATGAATGACAGTTTGACAGAATATCAATATAACTAGAACTTCGTTATTTAGATGATTCGAGAAAACTCGAACACTAATGAGTTATTTTGTATGCATTCTTTCATGGAAACCACATTTCAACCATATGACCTTAATCCCTTGATAAAACCCGATATAAATAGCTTCTGTAAAGCCTAACAGCTGTTCGCAGGCTCGTATGTCACTTGGTTAACTAATGATTCCACAGAAACAATCAACAATGAAACAACTGACTTGGTTACTTGCAGTTCTCTAGTGGATCAAACTACATGCATTATCAGTTTCTTTCCTATCAGTAAGTAGAATTGTCATATATTTGCGTTATCTTACTGCTTTACAGCTGCTCTGTTTATAATCATGCGATTTCTCGCTACAACACATATACTTACATGAACCTTGTTTTTGCTATGAATGAACACCTCTTGGTGATCTTGACGTATTCAAAACTAGGGTGAACATTATCAGCACATTTGTATTGACGCCGTCATGATAAGCATGAAAGGACATGTCTAGCAACGATTTCATGAGCAGACGTCTTGTGAAACTTGTGAATCTTGTAAGCTTGTGTTTCCTGCTTTGACTCATTTGTCACGCTTCACTATAGTCGAGGTGAAAAGATGCTGGTAAAATAGCTTGACATCTTTTGTTAAAACTAAGTTTAAAAAAAGGTTCAAGTGTTTATATATCGTTATTCATTCAGGTCATTCAGGTAAAAAACATCTGCGTGACGACGTGCTGTAGTCATTCAGAATGTTTTCCTCCCTTTTTAATTAATGTGCCGATGATGTTCAGACCCTTCAGAGCTTCATTCAAGTATATAAAACAGAAAGGTAAACACGTTTGTATATATATGTGCATTATTGAAATACGTTTTATCAAAGAATCCAAAGCGCTCATGCGTTTTATCATTTCAAACTAATTGACTGTAAACTGCTATGAACATATCAGAGATAATGTATTAAAGTACTAAGTAGATAAACAGTCATACAGAGAAGATAATCCTTGCTCATGTAATTACTACGCGGTCGCCATAGAGAATGTAAAATAAGTGCATATTGTTATGGTTTTTATACACGAAGATTTCAGATTTTGAAAGTTTGTTATTTGTCTAATATTTGGTATATGAAATGACGGATGAAGACTTTTCGATTTTCCCCGACCAGGCATTAGATGAAACATGAAACCAACTATACTCATGCACATTCACATGGTACATTGATTATAGCCACAATCACGATACGTTTCTAAACCTTTTAACAGTAAGTAAACTTCATTCTTATTCGATTAACTTGCAGTGTTGCACTATACTGATATGCTTCAACGCGGGAAATAAAATCTATTTTACCACTTATAGATATATCACGACCAGGTAATAGACATGTCTTGACTTGGTGAAGTTGCGCAGTAGTTATAAAATTGATTTACCAGGACCGGACAATTATTCGTCGCATTATAGGTCGAAGTTTAATTTGAAATTAGCTACAAAGGTTCGTGTTTATAAGATTTAAACTATCTATACTTTATAGCTATATATATAGACAGCCAAAGGAAACAGGAAATTAGTTATCCGTTTATAATGATTGCAGTTAACCACTGATCAATTCAAGTATGTGCAGTCAAAGGCCAAACGTATACGTGAACAGGACATAAAAAGCTTTGAAGATGAGTTCGCCTTGCGTAGTGGAAACGGGGCTTTCTGATTTAATACGAATGGTTATATCAACAATCGGAATTATTTATGAACCTCATCTGTCACTTTAGTCTGTCACCTTCGTCCAAATTTTGTTATTTCTGAATCCTATATTATAATTCGCATGATTTTTGTTACCATGGCACTTCAGTATCATGAATATGCCATTATTCTTGTCACTAGTGCAGCATTTTGTAGAATATTGTTTTGCGGTCAATATTTGTCAATGCAAAGGAAAACTATGTAGAAGACATGCAGCAATGCGACTTAAGACACTTACAATGAAATTGTTTTTTGAACCTATCTGTTATATATTCCCAGCGTATAGACTTTACTTCTAGTGAACACAAAATTCGTGTACATCATACGACCATTACTCATTATCAAAACCATTATTTGTTTCATAGACAGCATAGTATATGGTCAATATGCGAGCATGCGGTTTCGCTTGTCTTCCGTGGTTTCACTTATTGTATATACTAGATGTACATCCGTGGAGACTGCCAACTTCTAATATTATTAACACCGCATGTGAAAAAACTTCAAGGGGCCAAGTCACTGGGAAATTAGTAACCTACCTATAAAAACATCCCAAACTCACAGAACATCAACCTTTACTTCCGTAAAACCTTATCGACCACCCCCATTATTCAAGTAATGAGTTGTCCACATGCCTGATGGGGTTTTTGACAAACAAATTTTTCACGAAGTCTGGTGACTGCTGTGCAGTTTCCATCTACAATAATTTCCACAATAACCAGATAAAGTGCCCTAATTTTTTCGAGTGAACCAAACTAATCACGCAATGCACCAAGTCATAAACTCAACATATTGTTACAATATGATTTTCTGCATGTCTATCGTCTTCTAGTCGATTCCTTGAATGAATTTTTGAGAGATATTGAGCAATGCGTGAAATATTTCATTTCTTAGGTTGAACACTGGCAATGGCTGGCGTGGAGACATACTTTGATTTTGATGCGGAGACATTTCAAATAACTGAAAAGAAGAGGCTTAGCAGTTCCTCAGGTACTTCAGGAGACGTTTTAACTCCAAACTTGTCAAGTCCGTACAAAAGCACATGCTCTGAAGATACAGGTTTTGAGACCAGCAGTGATCGCAGTTCTCAAGATGGCGTTATTGAGTCACCGCGAAGTCCCAGTCAGGATTTTTCTTGTTTAACATGTCCGAGAGGAAGTTTTGATTCTTTGGTTGCAAGACCAGTACGGCGGTATGATTCTAAAGAAAGCATTAAATCCACGTCATCATTCTGGGACTCGAACGTTCCACCCGAAACTAAAGCCGTGCTTTCAAAAATTCGAGATCAGATGCGATCTAGTTTAGAGAAAGTAAGAAAACTTGAAGAAGAAGCCAAGCAAATCCCTTTATTGCAAGTGAAAATATCTATTCTGCAAGAGGAGAAGAGACAACTTGTGGCTCAGTTGGAAAATAGACTTAATTTGAAAAAATCACGCTCTCGAAGTAGCACAATGAGTAGTAATACTAGTCGATCATCTTCTATTGATGATTTGATTGGTGGTTCTCAGGATAGAAAAACAAGAAATATTGGCGTTGGTGACGATACCATTCATGATATACTCTGTGAGAAATGCAACGAAATTCAGTCGAAATTGCTTGGACATTCTTTAGGTGCTGCCGTTGGTTACTGTAGCGAAGTACCTCGGACTGTCGAGGGACGTCGTGGTAAATCAAGGACTATCCAAGATGATGATATTAAAGTGTTTCAAGATCGCTGCACTCAAACAAAAACCTTCAAATATGAAAGCACCTCAGTGCAAGCAACAGTGTCAACGAATGATGTTTCCACTGAAATAAACACTCGTGATAACTCAGGCATAATGATTAAAAGAACTGATGTGACGACTAAAGACTCTTCTTCTGGTCCATCACTTTTTGAAACAAGATCTATTGGAGTTGGGAAAATGAACTATTGCTTGAAAGATTCTTGTGCGGGAGAAGATAGAGAAATTCCTAGCTATACAAATACAAGTGTCCAAAATACCGTATTCACATGCGATAAAAGCTGTGGAGTGCAGATTATCACTGACAGTATTGGTGTCATTGCTTGCCCGACCGTTATTTCAGTTGCTACGCAATGTAGCTCTATAGAAAATAGATCTAACAAGAAACAACATTCTATTGGCATTCAAACTGCACAGGAGGATGTTGATTTAGTGTCAGTGGGTGTTGGTATGTCTTCGATTGATGATTCTGAAGATTGTGAATGCTCCAAATGTAATTCACCGAAATCTTTATGTGAAGATGAAATACTGCAATCCAATAATTCAAGCATTGCAGTAGAGACGTCACCTTGGGTCGACGTGGAAGGACAGCTACTTCTTGAGTATTATACATCCAAGTCCTTATCTTCTGTTGCTGTAGAGACAAGTATAACCAGCCGTTCAGTGGGCTGCGGTGATCAAAGCATTACGGATGTTTCTTGTCAAAATTGTGTCTTAAAAATATCTCGATCTCTAGGTGTAAACTGTTCCCCAAAAATGTCTGACAAAGCAGTTGGAGATGGAGATGGAGATGTAGATGTTGTACCTAGGACCAGCTCAGTGGGTGTAGGTGAATGTTGCTTGACTGATAGTTATTGTGAGAGGTGTTTTTCGCTGCAAACACGGACTGTTGGTGTTGGCAATGGCAGCGTTTTAGATACGGTTCAGACTGACCTTGAAACACCGATTCTTACGGATGTATCGTTACAGCCGCTCTCACCACCACAAACGCCAAATTTGGAGGAGAAATTGACGACAGGACTCAATGAAAATGTCTCTCCAATACAAAGAATGTTCAGTGATGAATATGAAAGAGTTGAATCTGATGAACTCATCCTGGATTTTACAAGCGAAAAAACGTGTAAAGCCAGTCAAAAAAGGTATTTAACAATTGAACTGAAAAATCTACGTGCAAGAGTTTCTTTATACTCAGTTTCAACATGTTGAAATTCCTTACTTGAAAGTATATGCAGGAGATGTTTTCTCCACTTCTCCATCAATTTGTTAATTTATATATGTATGTAATCACCATTCACATAATTACATTATCATTATCATTATCACTATATCATACACAGAAATCGATTTATCTAGCAGTCTATAGAGTTCGAAACAAGTGCCAAGACATTTATAATTTAGTTTTAATTTAGTACTCGGGAGGACATTCTTTTCACGTGCAAACTTCTTCAAAGACATTTCCAAAGCAATACCGAGAACTTAGACGAAGAGAATTTAGTAAGTCTTTCATTCCAATTCATTCAATAATAGATGAAATATTATTACTACTGATCCACAGGCGCATGTTTGAAGTGAACAAAAAATTGATTTTATTTCATTTTGCATGTATAGTTGCTGTGCATAAAGAACATTGAAGATTATTGGTTTACTTGTGTAACAGATGAAAGGCTTGACAACGAGTCTCTGACGGATCTTATTAGAGTTTTTCAACAGCATTTGCCTTATCTTTTGGATGGTATAATAAACTCCCAAGATGAACATGTACGTTTTGTAGCGTGTTTGTATATAGTGTGTCGATTGTTTGTATACTTGGCTTTAGCTTGTCGGCCTGGTAAATATTGTATTGAAAGGTGATGCCAGGTCCTCGAGGCATTCGTGGAGGCGTTTGTCGGATCTAATATACGCTTTAGATTAATCATTTTTCTTCTGAATCTGACTTGCTAAAAAATTAGCCAAGTAATTAGCGAGGAAAACGATGCAAGTACACATTAAGAAACGTGCCAATACGTATATATTTGATTTAGGGAAACACAGCGTTGCATTACGTTGTAACATACGGAAATTTGATTGTGTGAATGAGTTACTAAGACAAACCAATGCAATGTGATTATCACAAACAAGGTACGTATAGCTTGAAAAAGCCTGTTCTCTATTGTGATAATATCAAATTCGTACAATCACTAAAAACACTTGCATTTTGCTACAATGTTACACTGACAGTCTGTTCCTGAATCCTTTATTTTTTCCCACAGGCCGGCTATTCTGCAGTGATGCTAGCTTCACTGAAGGAAGCTGTCAACTCCAAAGATAAAGTTGTCTTAAAGCGATTGTTTGAAAAGGGAAACCTAAATTGCGTCGCTCAAAGTGTACGTAATAAATCAACTCTGTTACGATTCTAATTAATTAATCTTTCTATTAACCCACTGGGCTAATTTTGCCTGGAAAATTATTTAGCTATTCAGTTTTAAAATATTTAACGTATGGGTTTAACAATGGTATATAGCATGTACGTGTGACGTCAAGAGGCTGATAAAGCTTGCATAAAAAGGACACCATATCATAAAATTAACTGAAGCAAACCACAAAATTAGCTGGATACAAATTTCTTTGTTTCTTCCACGTATTAGACTGGTCAAACAGCTCTGATGTTAGCCGCTGGCATGGGGAACGTGGAGACCGTCGATCTCCTTCTCCAATGTGGGGCAACGAAGACGATAAACACAGCAGACTTGGTAAGTATGGAAAGTGTGAGTGCATAGCCACGCCCCTCGCTCAATCTTAAGCACATTCCTGGGCCTTAGAATCGCTTTATCGCTAGACCTCAACTAATCAGGTTAAATCGAAAGGAATAAAATCCTATATAGTTTATCGTTTAGGGGACAGGTAAATTTGAATTGTTGGTCATATTCAGAGTCACTAAAAAGTTGATAGTCATCACATGAACCACCCCCCAATCCTCGTTGTTTCGTTGCACACACTATAGCTTAAGATAAGGATGAATTTCAAATAAACCTATCTCTTACCTATCTCACATGTTTGAAAGGATGGTTCGACAGCGCTAATGTGCGCATGTGAGCACGGTTATGCTAAAGTTGTGAAGAAATTGTTAGAAGTTGATGGTTGTGATGCAAGTATTGCTGATCATGTAAGTCAGAATTTATCTACACCCGTGTTGTTTAATTTAAACAATAGTTGTGTTTTCTCGGTAAAACTGAATGAAACATATTCACTTTTATACTCTTTAGGATGGTAGTACTTCTTTTTCGATTGCGATGGAACATAATCGAAAAGATATTGCTCTGATGATCTACAGTCATATTGAAGTATATAATTCCACAACATCTCATCAATTAATGAAAATCTAAAAATGTTAACATTTTGTTCTTTTATGTCACGGCAGATCAATCTATTTAAAAATTTATGTATAATGAAGTTTAATAATATATAGAATATCTATCATTGATCTGTTGTCTTTTTTACCAGGATTCATTTAGGAGCTGGTAAAATAAATAAAGTAAACCGGATGATATGTATTACAAAATATATATTATTCATATAATCATAATCGAACACAACCTCAGCTGAGGCTCGTCAAATCCTGGGGGTATATCTGGAATGTGGTCGTGTTCTTCCGATCCTTAAGTGCAATAATTTAGACGAGCAAAAAAGTCAATATCATCATACGATTATTGATAATCTCAAACAAGACACTATGTACATTCTTCCGCACACTGTTTTATTGTTTGGCGTGGTAGTGTTCTGTTTGATGCAGAAAGGGGAATAAATATTGGAAAGCGAGAGATTGTATAGTTTTAAGACGACTAAGTTGTAACGCTTGAGATTTTGATGTTAAGAAATGTAGTACATGGCCTGGGTTGCAAGGACAAAAAGCTGATATAGCAGGGACACAGCACAGCCAGGTTTCCTGAAAGAACGATAACGGAAATTTTGTGACTGTGTATCTTCAATTTATTATTGTTAATTGTAGCCAGTAAAAAAGACGAAATGGACGAATTGTTAAAAAAAAGGCATGTCATTTAATTAGCATCTTCATGATTGACAAAGACAGGTGGTGGGGGCAGTCACAAGACACAAGGGCAGGAAAGCCAGCTAGTTCTAGCTCGATGTCCACTTTCACATAAAAATATTGCCTTTCGTTTCCGCGTGTAAATCGTTCTTTAAATCGTTCTTAGGAATATTTATCTTTGAAATCAACAGAGATCTTATTTGTTATATTTTTTAACAATGTGGGACATTATACTATGCCTTACGTGAAGTATTTTGAAATCGTTTAATAACATTTTCTTAATTTCTTTATTTAGGCCGTATTCTGTGGCCGATTATCGTTCAGTTTCGTTGCCCCCCTTCGGGCACTACTTGAAAACACGATAGAAAATTAGGATAAATTATAGAAAGTCTAAATTCACTTGTTTTCACCTTCACAAACCTGCAGTTTTCGAGCATTTCATCTTCGAAACATCAGTGAATTTGCATGTTTTGCAATACACCGACGCCATTTTGATTCAGGAAATGTCGAGGATACTTGGTGTAATATACGACATATATAGCAGATTCAGCAGTTTTATACCGGTATTTAAATGAAGTTTCCTGAATTTTTGCTGTGCAAGCAGGTTTCAACAAGGAAGCTTTGAGTGGAGTTTTACGAGGTTTTTCGCAAATTTTCATAGTTTTTCAAAACTAAATTAGTCAGAAAAGAATTGGACAACAATTAATCGGAAAACATCCGCCAATTTGCGATTTTTTTATAGCATTCTGCTCTTGGAATTTACAAATAAATAAGAACAACTTTATTTACACGCATCAAAATCATCCACGAGCGTTTTGTTTCTAGTCAATTTATATAAAACAAGACGCCTGCTCAAGGCGTTCACTCCGCCTGCATGCCAACTGATGTACCTAATTCATCCGTGGACCGTGAAACTCAGGGCTTCTCGGTCAAAATGTTTTGGGTTACCTGTAGAAATGCCAACTTCTGTCGCCCAAAACGACGAAAAGGAAAAAAGACCATGGCATTTTAAGACTCCGCTGCGCATACGCAGGCGGAGTAATAATTACTACACAATTCTTTTCCAGCATACCCTTTGTTTTGTGATTTGCAACGTACAACTACTGTACATGTTAAAATTGAACACGCATACCAAGGTTGATATTGATACGTTTTTAATAATACCATCGTGGGAGATTACGAGCGCCTTATAATTTTAAAACACAAATAAAATGTTGAACTCAACCCTTTTAATCGGACAGCTAATACCACAATTCATCATCGACGTCATCTCCGAAATCCAGATTAGATCCTGATCCTTCAAGTTCATCATCGTCATCAGATTGAGCCAGGCCATAACTGCTGTCATCGTCGTTACAATCTTCAACTACTGCATTCTGGCAATCACCACACGAACATAGGTTGGTGCACTTTAAGTCAGCCTTTTTGCAGGAACAACGCATGCATGGTCGAGCATCCAGTCTTGCACTTGCACTCAACTGACACTCAATTAAAGATCGCGGAGCGGGTGGGCGTGTCATCCAAGTTATCTCCAGCTCTTTATCGTCAAGCGTCCAGCCATTGCCAACCAGTGATGGGAGATCGACTTCTGCACTTAAACACTGATACCATGATGCTGCTTGATTGCTAATGCCATTACCGGTAAAAGCATGAAAGCCTGGTAAACAAAGTGCAACATCCACGCCCAAGAATTTCGAGATAATTGCTACAAATACGCAACGACGTCTATCTCCCGTGCCAGTCAAAAAGAAAATCTCTTTCTGCATCTGTTGTTGCATGGCAATCGCAGGTATAAGAACATCTGTATCAGGGCCTTTGATAATAACTTTATCGTACGTTGCTGCTGCGTGGTTGGCATGTAGAATTAAACGAGTGTCTGCTTCTTCGTGGTGCTATGAAGCGAAAACACCTCATTACTTGTAACAATATCGTTTCGGAATCACCGGGATTAAAACATAGCATCTTTCTTTAGCAGTTACGTACATAGTTGAAATGGAAAACCACCGGGAGGAGTTACATGACCTCCAGTGTTCACATAAGAAAGATATGAGGGATTTCTGGTTTCACCGCATCTTAAACACTTTTTCCACTGTTTTGGAACACTCTGATCTTTTCCGAAGATTTGAACTTTCTGGACTCCTTCAGCTCTTCGTTGTTTCTCTGCATTCTTTATGCTCAACTAAGGATACCTGTCTGCAACAATCTAATCATTTGGAATTATACTTTCGTGCTAGCGTGTTGAGGTTTTTAAAAGAGCATCATCGCCAAATGTTTTCCATTTTCCTTTCATCGACTGAATAACTGCCATAGCATCTACAATCAGTGCATTGTTGTTAAATGCACAAACATTGACTTCTGGATTTCCAGATTCATTTTCCAATACTTCAGCAAGTTTAGACTTGGGCCAACTTGGCAGTTTTCACAAGTCCTCACACGTTTTCATAAGGAAAATGTTTGAAATTTGTTCTTTTTCAACTTCGTAAAGATGTCTGGGTTTTCGCTCAACAAATTCGTTTTTAGTGGATTGATGATAATAAGATAAAGGCGTTGGTAATTAACTTTGTCAAAAAACTGAGATGTTGTTAATAGTTTTGCTGAGAAAACGTGTGTATTATAAAAGTAGTTAATATAAAACAAAGGTTATGCTGGAAAGGAATTGTGTAGTAATTATTTTATATAACTTGGCTAGAAACAAAACGCTCGTGGATGATTTTGATGCGTGTATGCAAAATTGGCGGATGTTTTCCGATTAATTGTTGTCCAATTCTTCTCTGACTAATTCAGTTTTGAAAAACTATGAAAATTTGCGAAAAACCTCGTAAAACTCCACTCAAAGCTTCCTTGTTGAAACCTGCTTGCACAGCAAAAATGTAGGAAACTTCATTTAAATACCGGTATAAAACTGCTGAATCTGCTATATATGTCGTATATTACACCAAGTATCCTCGACATTTCCTGAATCAAAATGGCGTCGGTGTATTGCAAAACATGCAAATTCACTGATGTTTCGAAGATGAAATGCTCGAAAACTGCAGGTTTGTGAAGGTGAAAACAAGTGAATTTAGACTTTCTATAATTTATCCTAATTTTCTATCGTGTTTTCAAGTAGTGCCCGAAGGGGGGCAACGAAAATCGTTTTCTAAGCGACTTTTCGTGCCAGAGAATACGGCCTAATTTGTTAAAATCAAAATTAAGAATAAAAATTTGCAAGTCATGTTTGACATTGTTTGTGTTCCTTATTTTGCTGACTCGAGTTTCATTTCAAGTTGTTAGTGCACATGGTTAGCATATTAAGACAAAGTATGAAAATATGTTTGGTGGGGAATATAAATCAAAACCCAAGGTTTCTCTTCGCGGAGCCAGTAAAAAGGTAGGAAATAGAAAACGTACAGAAGAATTATTCTGGAGAGCTAGAGGAAGAATTTGAAAATAAAATGCGACTGAGGTTGCTGCTTCCAAGAGGAAATGCGATATAGTTTAGAATTTCAAACTGTTTAAAAAACTCTGAGCTGACTGAGGTAATTTTCCAGTGTTTGTAAACAATGTGCAAGTTGTAAAATGGTACAATCCTATATCAAGCTATATGTTATTATAAATTATTTTCAGGCAGGATACCAGATAATTTGTTGCCATGAGATGATATATAAACTAATTTAGTTTACATGAATATGAACTACACAGATTGAGACAAAAATCTGAACAGTATATATTATCCAACAAAATTCACATATACTGTACAAACTAGCATGTTCATATGCACTTTTAATAGGCTGGTTGCAACAGAATATAACCAGATACTTGGGTTATTAATCTGCCTGCTGCTGTTAAACATTCAATCATTAATTAATAGTGACCAAGGAATTAATCTTATAGGAGAAAAGATCATCTTTGATTCATAGAAATCAAACTGAAAGGGAAAGACGCGAGGTATAATAAAGAATCTAAATATACTTTTTTTAGTAATTGAGCTGTGAAACACAACTTTGTTACTTCAAAATAGATATTTTTTTCAAACTGATGGGACCCAATCTGTCATTTTAGGAAAATAGAAGACGGAATTATAGTGCGTTGAAAATTCAAGCATTTTTTCGCGGAAATTGGATTCGAAAACAAGAGGTGAGAAAATTGATTTGCCAACTGATTATTTTTTGATCGTTACTATTTCTCAGCTAGGATTTGCCAAAATATTGAACTTTATTGCTGTTGGTATTAACTTTTAAACATTGATAAGAAACATGAGTGATGTACGTTCAAAGAGTTTATTATTCTTCGATAGTCATTATAATGAAAAACTATTTCTTATAAAACTATTTCTTATAAAACTATTTATTCCTTAGTGTGATGCACGAAGAAAAGAGTTTGATGAGATTTTGGCACAACTTGAAGGAAGTGAACACCCACACATTGACAATATTCATTTGCTGCTTAGCTGCTTACTTTATTTCTACTCCAGACATCAAGATACAGAACGACTGGTACGTAATAAGTGCAGTAATACCTGCAAACATGTTGCTTCATAAAAGCTCAGTAATTTGTTAAAAAATTTTGACCGACATTGAATTTACAACATTACAGTATATTGTATTACAAGAGATACTTCAGGCACATTGCCAATTGAAAGTCCATATCAACCATTTAATGAACCAATTTAAATGTTATATTTCAATGTAGATAAGCACATCCCAGTTTTTACTGAAGAATAACAAAAGGATAAAAATTAATGATCACAGACGTTGGACCTTTCAGATTAAGAAATTTTTATGCCTTTGTTCCAGGTAATGTACTTATAATTTATTATTTGTTCTGTAATCCAATATGCAGTCATATGCAGGTTGTAGGTTACAGTACAACTCCTAGAGGTCTGACAGATTCCAGTGAGGATAATTTTGAAATCAAGGCTCAGTGAATGCTGTTACTAGTTGTGAGTGTAAGTTACCTTATGACCTTGGTTACAAGAAAATTTTATTGATTTTTTCAGCATTTTAAGGGAACTGATTAAAACAAAAAAGAGATCGTTTGCAATTCCGTTACGTATTCTGGAGTCTTTTACATCACCAGCATGGTATTCTGAAATGAGCCGAGGCATCTATAATGAAGAATATGCAACCACAATTTTCTTGTGTTTGGCTGAGAATGGTAAAAACTTGTACAAATCATATTCTTTTCTCGTGCATGTATGTTTCTAGTCAAAATATGTATCTCATAGTTATAATATTTATTTTACTATTAAGCAAACTGATTTTTTTTAACCTTAGATTATTTCAGCCATTTACGCTACGTTTTGGAGGAACGTGTGCCATCGTCCATAGAGTATGGCTCATCTACTCCTTTAGCTGACAGCCTTGTTGATCTCCTCACGAAACCACTACGACAAATATGTAATTCATCCCAGGAAAACCAGAGGTTAAGAACTGTTATTTGACGTTTCAGAAATATGTACCATCAGTGGAAACCACTTCACTGTCTTGAAGTCTGTTATTGTGTGAACAAAACGTGCATTTCTCGTTCTAGATTCAAGCTCTTATCTTCATTTGCGGAGGCGGTCTTTGTTCCAAAACTATCAAATCAAGTGAAGAATTATCTGCTACCAAAACTTCAGGATCAGGGAGATTTTCCATTCAAAGATCTTCTCCAATGCTTACAAAATACTCAATTTACGTCCACTGTTTCCCTACTGTATTGCATTTTGAAGTTAGCTCAATCAAACATAGGTACGGTGCATGAGAGTAAAGGTATACAGTTGAAAGAGTTCCGTGTTACTGGATGTTTAATAAAAGCTTTATTTTGTTGTAGAAACTCTAGAAACATCGGACATTCCACTTTATCTGGAAACGATTTTGAAACTGTTACGAAAACTCCCTCCTAAAGGTATTCTTACTTTTAAATTAGCGTCGCCGGCTTTCGATTATAATAATCCCATTTGTTAAGTTCAGGTTATTTCCTACATGCAGTATGAGTTAGGTTTGAATCACGTGTAGTAGAGTTATGTGCAGTCGTGCCTCTCCCGATGCAGTGCAAGATATGATGCAGTGCAAGATATGATGCAGTGCAAGATATGTAGTGTGTCACGGAATCTAATTGTTCGACTCCTTGTTTAAGTGGAAAGAAGCGAAAAAGAAGAAGAAATTGAGGATTCAGATGATGAAGCATCAACCTCTTCTCAAATGCAACAGGTTCTGGCAGTATTTAATTTCCTTCATATCAGGATCTTAAGTGACAAGAATCATGGTTTCCTTAAATCACTGATATTATGATGACCAACAGATAACATTGATGAATGCATTGTCCTTTTCTTCAGGATTTGCACGAAAAAGACGACGATGAGGTGATTGAAGATTGTTTTGAAATGTTGAACGAGAAACGTCATGTAAAGTTATTGTTAGACACGTTTGATTCGAGGTGAGTAAGTCGTTCTTCTTATCCCAATAGCACGGTTTTAAAGGAAAGATAACACTGCACGGCTAGGTAATATTTGTCTATGGCGCTCGGAAAGCCGGAGTACGACAACACAACCTAAAACAACTGGCTTCTCTAGGTACAGGAGGCTCGAGAAGTCACTATCATATCTTAAATCTTCCTCATCTAGATCACAAGCTGACGTAAAGTTTAGCGAAGATTGCATCAGGCTGCTTACTCTTATTGTTAACAGTTTGATTTTTGAACGAAAATGTCATATCCATAAATCCAGGTTTGTAACCTCGTGATTGTATTTTGTTTTATTTATAGCAAAAGTTTCTTAGATCTTGACATGAAGGTTTAGTTATGATAGCAAGTAACTACTGTACACCAATGATGTTTGAATACATAGGGTACTACAATTTATGTATATTGTTGGTAAATGCGTGATCTCTCTACTTTTGTATAGAATTTTATTGACGCTGTCGTCTAATCGCACTTTCTTTACAAAGTTGTGGAACATAATAAATCATGTTTCGATACAATCGAGTATTGGGTAAGGTATTACTAAGATTTCTCTTAAAGTCCTGGTGTATAGTGTGGTTACTATGGCAATACTATAAAAGCCCTTACTTTCATAGTATAGAAATGTGTCGTTGTACCCCCATATCTATAAAAAAGGTGTTTATTCTGTTTCGTAAAGATAATCTACGTTCTTTCAATAGTGTGGATCTTACAGTATATCTCATTCTTGTGCTGGTATTTTTGTTAGGAAACGTTTATCATTGCTTCAAATGGTGAACCATGGTAGCAATCTAAGAAACTGGGAAGCAGAATGCATAGCTCCACTCCTTGCTGTCTTCTGTTTTCTGCTGGGAAATCTTCTCTTTTCACTGCACGATATTGATTTTCGTTCACACGATTCAGGTCAGTTACCTGCAATTATTCTCAGAGTTTTTTTTTCATTGATAGTTGGCTTATCGCACTAGAAATAAATTATAATTACACGAACTATTTTCCGCAACGGAAATACGTTATAATTTCACTTACTATTCTTATATATTATAGTAATGAGTTTATCATAGACACAACGTAAAACCGAGATGTAATTGTATAAAACCTCTCTTGTGTAGGAGCCAAGATTCCATTTAGTTTTGAACAACTATCTGAAATGGGTAGAATGCTGTGCGATACCACGCTTGGTGTTATTGAAATAATGAATCATGAAATCAGGACAACCACTGTACCTAATTATAATCTCAGATCTAAAATTGCTAAAGTTCGTCTCGGTGAATCACTTCGCGAAAATGAGATGTACAGTAAAGATAAATGGAATAATGTCTTAGAGGTTGGTCATTCTCTGTCGTGTCAAAAATATTTTGTGCATATTACACTACGTTCCGCGTATACAAATTAGATGTGCATGATGAGATGTGCATGATGTAGCTAGAAACTGTATTTGTGGTAGACTCTTCCATGCAATCACATGCATGTCATCCAATATCTTCTGTAATATCTCAAGGCGATGACCCGCGTGATCAAACAGTTACATTCACGTGACACAAGGTTACATTATTGTCCTATTGATCATTGGCTCTCGTCGAAAGTTGATCTTCAAGTTGAGTTGGTATGTAATAAGATTCAGACATCTCGTTTAATCTTTAAAGTCATTCTTAGTCTTTTGTGCCGCTGGAATGCAAAAGTACAAACATTATCGTAGAGCACACGTGAAGTACGCCACATTTCAGAACAGTAATTTAATTTTTTTATTTCACTCTATATGCAGATTGACCTGGAAATATTTTTTCAAGAAAAAGGTTTGGACAATTATTTTGAAATTTTATCTTAAATCAGAAAAAAAATTTGATATTTTGTTTTGTATAGGAACTGTGAACCCGTCAGACTACTTACATGGAACGCCGGGAAAAACCTTTCTTCATGTCGCCATTTTAGAGCATATTCCTTTTGTTGTTCCCTTTGTCGATCGTGTCAAGGTACCATTGAGTCATTACGAGTTTATAGAGTCAAAACTCTCTAACATTCACTGAGTAGAACTATTCTGATACAGACTAGATTTTTGGCTTGGTAATTGTAGTATATGAACAAAAGGTTTTGAACAAAACACATTTATGTTTCCTTACAATTGAACTAAAAATTTTTTTTTATTGCTAACAAAACCATACCATGTACATATGTATATAAAGCAAGTTAACAAACTTGATCCAGTGTGAGGGAGATTATTCTCTCGAGAATTCTTACATTGAGAACGTACAGTAATTGAACAGAAGAGCTGAGATTTTTCCACTCCTTTTGTTTCTTCTAATGTCTGGTTTAGATCAGTCTATTTTATTTTTAAAACAGTTATTTCAAAGAATTCTGAATGAAGATAAGGTCAGACATGCTGGAAATCTTCACGGTTTCTTAATGGGTCCAGAAGTACGAATAAGAAGAGCGACATTATATCAAGATGCTTTTGATGAACTATCAGGTGATCAAGGTACGAACAAACACTTGTCAACTACTTTTAATTTGTTTCACTTCTAAACTAAAACAACTGTTGAAATAACTGGGAATGCGTCTTGTATTTTAATTCAGATCTCAAGCAGAGGATTCATGTTAAACTATTCAACTTGCAAGGGTTAGAAGAAGCTGGTGTTGATGGCGGAGGTCTTTTCAGGTAGTTGTTTACTCCAAAGATATTCTGATTTTCCAACCAGCTCAGATCGCTTTAATTAAATCACATCCTAATCGTAATGCACATTTTAGCTACTAAGAAATATAGTTACGTTCGTATTTGATATATGTTTATCGCTTTCATGATTCTAGAGAGTTCTTGAATGAGTGTCTAAAGGCTGGGTTTGATCAAAATATTGGATTTTTCTCGTCTACTAGAAATGAATTACTTTATCCAAATCCACAGGTAATGACGTTTATTAGCAAGAATGTGAAATATGTGGCATTTAGTTGTGTGTTAATACTAAATAATTTCTATTCTGTTCTGTTTGAAGGGACATCTTGTTGATCAAAATGTTTTCACGCATTATTATTTCCTAGGAAAGATGCTCGGAAAGGTATAAATATTAAAAATTGTTAGTGATTCATGTGTAGCGATGACTTTTTCAAACTAACATTTCACTATCATTTTTGCTGATTCACGTTTATAAATGAAGCGTATTCAAAGTGTAATTGTTTTATATTTATTTCAGGCGATATATGAAAACATGCTGGTTGAATTACCGTTTGCCAGCTTCTTCCTTTGCAAGGTACTAAGTCAAACCAATGCAGATGTTGATATAAACCATTTGGAATCTCTGGATCCTGACATGTACAGGTTCGTTAGAAATAATTTTAGTATCTACCAATTCATCATCTTGTCATCATCAAAGCAAAGGGATATTTCTGAAAACATCGATATTTTTCTTAAGGAATTTACTGTATTTGAAAGATTGTCCTGATGTTGAGGATCTTGATTTGAATTTTACTGTCATTAACGACAACCTGGGCCATTCAGAGGTACAACTAAGTTTCTGTTTAATGGTAGGGTTAGTAAAATAGCAATCCTGCAATGGCATAGGGTAACGTAACGTTCAGAAATGCAGGATATGTTATGGACTTCTCAGCTGCTAAAAATGATATATTGCCTACGTATTTATGCATGCAAAATATATTGCATGGAAGCCCAAATAAAGTGAGATTTTTAACTACGGTATAGAACAGTTCTTGACGTGTTTTTTTTAAAATACAAAAGTTAGTGATCGTATTACTGCGGTAATCTCACATTGACTAGATTTTTGTGTTTTAACCTATTCTTAATGTATCGATGAAAGGTGGTTGAATTAAAACCTGGAGGTCGAGATATCGTTGTAACCAACCAAAACAGAATTGAATACATCCATCTTATGGCTGACTACAAATTAAATAGACAGGTTTGTAGAAAGACAGCGGATCGTACACATTCAGGCCGCGGTTCAATTGTATCTTTGAACATCGTAATCTTTTATTTAAACAGATTCGTCCCCATTGTAACGCATTTCGCTCAGGGCTATCAACTGTGATTGATATATCTTGGCTTCGTATGTTTGATCCTAATGAACTGCAGGTAAACTATACGTTGTGCTGTACAGAGTCTGACTTGTTTGTTCAGTACAATAATTGCCTTTTCAGTCTATACATATGTCATACAAACATTCTACAATTGACAATTTAAATTAGGTTGGGTTAACTTATTTTTGACCCCAATTTTCATATTCATATTCCATTTTGTTCATGGTATGTTCTTTTCTGATTTTTCACATCTTTCCATATTCTCTTTTATCTCAGATGTTGATCTCTGGTGCGCAAGTTCCCATAGATATCGAAGACCTAAAAAGCCATACTTCATATTCAGGTACGCTCAAATTTATACTTCCAATTCATCAAATGTCGGTGACAAAAATCAATTTTTAAATATTGTTTTCTTCTGTAACCTTTGTAGGTGGTTTTAGCGAGGACCACATTTGTATGAAATATTTTTGGTCAATTGTGTCACAGTTTAGCGATGATCAAATGCGTCAACTTTTGAAGTTTGTCACAAGTTGTTCACGACCTCCTCTTCTTGGCTTTAAGGTTTGTTTTGGGAATTCTTCAGTATTTAAAAGGTAGCTTTGGCCAACATAGCTCGATTACTCTTGATCTACATACGCGGGATACCTAGTATGAAATCCGTTTATCATTAATTCCGTCTATAACTCGCACTAGTAGAATCACGTAGACTAGAAGGCTAATAATGCTTCAAAGATGGACAGGTTTGTACGAATTTTGCCATCTCACTAAATATACAAAGGCTGCCAGAAAGACCCAAAAATTTTATTAAACAAATTACTCAAAGCATAGTGACTGTGCTTAAAGTAATCATAAAATATAAAATGGCGGATTTCCAGTCGGTTTCTTTCAATTGGCGGCAACATCGCGACTTTACATGCATCGCGCTTTGCCGTCTGCAATCCCCACAGCTAGGCGCGTTTCTTTCCACGATGATTTGATGAAAAAATAATATTGATGCCCTGCATGTTTTGAAAAAGGCTGTGCATTTTGGGCAATGTTGTCTGTGTGAATCAGGTTTGATTTTTACAATTTTTTTGCATCACTGCCATTAGCTTTAATACCATTTCTCATAAGCTTATATAAGTTTATATAAGTTTATTGATTAGTCAATGAAAGAACAGGCGTACGAGTGAGTTTAAGCAATACCGAAAACGTTTGGGAAAATGCTATATTTCTTAACCAAAATGAAAACATTTTAATTTAATCAGAAATCGTTGTATATGGGCATCAAAAAGTCAAACATCCCTCAGTAAATCCTGTTTTATCCGATAGAGAACTCAGCATAGGCTTAGTCCAGTCTTGATTTCATCAAATGTGCCCAAATGTTTTTAATATTGCCTAATGTTTACTTTCTATAGTAGCTACACACTTACACGTTGTCTCTTGATTAGTGTGGATAAGATTTATCCCATATTAAAATATTTATATCTGCTTATTCCAGGATCTTTATCCGCCATTCACGATACACACCGCTGGAAGTGAAGACAGACTTCCATCAGCAAGCACGTGTGTGAACTTACTCAAGTTGCCCGAATATCCTGACCTGGAGACAATGCGGCAAAGATTATTATATTCCATTGAATCTGGTGCTGGATTTGAACTCAGCTAATTGGAAATAATTATTTAACGGATATTATTTGAGTACTAATGACTCAAATACGGAAAATGGATGTATGGTATTTCCTATACCAGCAGGCTTACTAACATCTTTGTAAGAAAGTTGCGTGTTTCACAATAGACCTTTGCAGTGAAGATTTCCATTTCGTAGCAATGGTCCGTTTATACGATTTCGCGTAGGCAGGACGGTAAATCATCTCCCCATTCGGCCATTCCCCTAGGCGGGATTGTAGCATCTATCATCGCTTTATGAGCATGCGTGAACATAATCAATTATGCAGGCTACAGGCTACTTGTATGGCTACATCCCGGCCGTTTTTTGTCCATTATAGACACTATAGTGTGCCACGCCATCACTTCTAGGTGGAATAAAAAACGCAGTAAAGTAAACATGAAAAATGCTGTCATAACTAGCATTAATTACAAGTTGCATATGTTTATATACAAACAACATTTATGAAAATGTGACGTATCGCCAATGTATGTTTATATTATAAATAGATTATAAATAAATGGTACGTTCATTTGAAATAATAACTTTTAGGTTTGTATGTAGGAATACGATAGAACAATTGTAAAACCGATTGTGTAACTTGTCAAATTTGCGCACTGAATTCGCACAAATTCGTATTTTTTTGTTTTTATGCACTGTCAGAGAAACATAACTATTTGTAACTCATTTGTAGTACAAAATAAGAGGAATGCCTAAACTCTGAACACTAACGTTCCCCCCTCAGAAAACAAAACAAAACTACAGTTACTCATAGTTAGGCTACACCTAGGCCTAAGGGCCCAAAAATGTTCTTGGGGAGATACGACGAATGAATTAGCGAAAATTACACGACTTCAAGTAAAAATTGCCTGACTTGCTATCAATTTCTACTTCGGTACTTCCCAGCTAGGTCAATCATAGTTATAGGCAACTCGATCGTACGTCATACTTAAGAATAATCTCTACGTACATGCCAATATTCCGGCATCTATACTGTATATCTCATCTGAGTCGAAAAAAAATGCACCATAATCATGGGCATAAATTATGACGGCATAGATACGTATTGTTTTGAACTTTTGAATACTTTGATCTCACTGAATCGATCGATCGGAACGATCGGTCTTATCTTGGAATTTCGGTGTGATCATGGCAGTGTTTTGAATGTAATGAGGTATTAGTGCCTACATTTGGTTCAAAATAGGTAAATATCTAAATTTTATCTTTACTTTTAAAGTACTCTTTTAAGAGTACTTTAAAAATCGTCATAAAATATACCAGCCATTTTTTTAATAGGACAATAGTTTGTTTATAGTGCACAATGCACGAAAGATCATAAAATGTCTAAATTACTTAATATTAGGACTTATTGGCTATATGAACGTGTATCCAACTAAATGGGAATAACTTTTTGGTACTGTTCCACAAAATTTTTGCTGATGACGTTGTCATTCATATCACATAGCTCATCTGTGGTACTATGCAGTAGGCAGTATGCATTGTCAATAAAGAAAACCTGCCGCTGTTCTCTAGCGATATATACCCAAAGAGAATATTTTTTCACATTCTAAACGTGAGTAATCTGTAAAAAGAACGAGTAGGCCTCCTAGTTCTAAGCAACATATTTGCTCCCTAGCTAATATGATTATGATTAGTTACGTTGTGTTGTGGACTTGTGGTAACTCATATTATGACGCGTTGTGATTTAGTAATCAGTAAAATATACAAATCTCATGAAGGAATTGCACTCCAAAATTTTAAATAATTTTTGTAATTGTCAAAAAAGCAAGGGCGTTGTTGGTTGAGGCAAGAGAAGATTACCAAATTGTGATATAATATGTAGCTAGTGCATTTTGTTGTTTGTACAATATTGCTGTTTAAAGCCCTCATGGCCTAAGTATAGTGTGCTGTAGCCCCATTAGATTGGGCAGAACTGCATGGTGATCATTAGTCAGGAAATTTGTACTCTAGAAGTGGAAGATTTTTGCTAAAATAGCCAGTCCAATAGAAATTCAGCTCAAATAAAAATGCAGCAATTAATATTGCCAGGGGAACCTGTTCAACTATGCTAGCTGCTCATGCACTTTTTTGCTGCTCAATGGTAGACATTTGCTTGCCCCAAGAATTTGTGTCCTCTATGCTCTATCATATTATGATCATATGATGTTCTCCATCAAGTAAATTTATTGATGTAAATGTGTAATAATAACATGGTCGCCTTGGTTTCTTTTGTTTCAACAGGGACATTAAATGACATATTTCTGCCAAGTACAGGGATGGCGGGGATATTTAGTTCTAAACGTACCTCATCAATATATTGATCCTACTGCATGTCTTCGCAGATGTATGAGGGTAAATGTTCTATATGAGAAAGTGCCCTTTTTTTGTTAGTGCCCCCACTTTCTAAATCTTTCCTGGCCTTGATTAGTATGTAATATTAATTGAGGTGTAACAGAGAAATTGGTGCTCATGATAAAAATGTATTGTGACAAAATTCACAGCCTAATTACCAGGTGCCAAAGCCTAGCTGGCATGATTACAACTGAATGATATCTTAAAATTCTCTTGGTGGATTACATCTCAAGTACTTACTTATAATATGGTATAGATCCTATTGCACTGACATAAAACCTACCTGTTGTCCTCCAGATACAGATGCAAAATATAAATATTCATCAAAGTACTGTGGAAATTTCTTTTAAGAAAGTCACACAAAACGACAAATGAAGCCCATTAAAATATACATTAATTTTGCAATATTACCATGAGGATTTAAAAAATATTATGCATAATTGGGTGAATAACATTGATATTTTGTAAAACAGTCCATTTATAAACATTAATGAATACTTCCAAACAAGCACCACTCAGGGACTAGAACAATAGTTGGGGGGAGGGGGGAGGAGGATATTCATATATAGACTGTTCTGCCTGCTGGATTTCTTGGCAGAACAGAATATATGAATATTTACCCCAATATTATAGTTCTAGTTTCACCTTTGGCACCAGCTTTAAAAAAATGGACGACGTACCTTCAATATTGAAACGTAATTCGTATCGGACGTAGGGCATGTAATTCTCATGTCGTGCTGTACACTTATTGTAGTATTTCTAAAAAGTAATGTCTATCATTTTCCCCAAGGCTAGAAGAAATTTTATGAAGCCTATTGCAAGATAAAACGATGGGATACACAATGCAAAATCTAAGAAATTTTAGAGAAGATCCAGGTTATCAATATTTCATCGCAGTTCGCGATGCCCTGAGAACTCTTGGTAATGGTTTACGTCATTTTTGCAAGCAGAAGGCCCAAGAACTTCAGGCAACATTGCTAAGAAATGCCGCCGGAATATGTAATTGTGCAGTTATACCTGGGGCTGTGGTAAAACCTTGTCGTCATACTTGTAAATGGGCAAGAGAATTGGAGAAAATGCATGCCAATAAAAAGAAAAAGTTCGTCCGGTTTTATCAAAGTGACAGCACAGTGTGGCATGATCCTAACGGTTACTGGGAATTAGCGAAGGTTTTTATGAACGATTTAGGAGGAAAGTGGAACGACGTTAAAAGTCCCGAGGACACAGATTTAACTGGACTCTTAAATTTTTTAATATTTTATAAACAGTCTAAAGTTCAACAGCCCTTGCTTATATCAGTTCGAGATTTGAGAAATGTTTTAGCACATACAAAAAGTTATAAGATCAATGCATCAGAAAAGAAAGCAGCATTTGACAGTATTGATCGCCTAATGAATGATGTCGAATTATTATCGTGTAAAGAAGTTCAAGATTGCCGTCAAGAAATCGAGGAAGTAAGAAATGCTGATGTTTCTTTTGTATTAGAAAGGGATTTGCTTGTTTTGAAAGAACTAACACGGCAGCAAGAATTTGAAAAGGAAAGCCAGCGGAAACGCCAAACAGAACAATTGGTGAACATGATTGAAACAATCTTAGCTGCATCAAACAATAATCTTCCACCGCCCTATGCTTCAAATGCTCAGGTTGATTACGGAAAATATGTGACCGGTTTAATGTTTTGGTTTATCACATTTTTCATGCTTCCCGTTAAAATTGTGAAAGAACTCAGTCGTTGGAAATATCTTCCATTGTTAATCCTAAATGTTACCTTGTTGGTATCATACGTCAGTGAAAATTCCGTGTTTGTATCGGATTATGGTAAGTTCACAGTTTCATAAAAGTATAAGTATAGACAGTTCAATCTGCATTTTAGAATTAAGCATTTAGGTTACATGTACATGATTCTACATTTAATTTGATTATTACGTGCACTTCGTCTGAAGTTATTCTTTTCTATTATTTACTGAAAAGAGAATTCCTCTCTCCAAATTTTGCCTCACTCTTGTTTCCATGATATGTAACTGTTTTTAAGTTAAAGTGGCTATATTTAACAAAATTTAACAAAAGATAAATTTCTTTATCCAATCATAGGTTGCTCTCTTCGTGTTGAAATATCGCCAATTAACACTCTAGGATTTAACGAATTTGACTTTACTGCCACTCATTTATCTTACAAACGAGAAAATTTCATTGGAAGAAACTGGTTGTTCAGAGAGTTGGATGACATCTTTCTAAGTAATTCTGCTCCTCAAGGCGTTCTTATTATTGGAGATCCAGGATCTGGAAAGTCAGCTCTCATGTCACAACTGATTTGTTCACCCTTTTCCAGCTTGGCAATCTACGATAACATCATTGGGTATCATGTCTGTGACTATTCTGCGGTTGTCACGCGAGACGGTGCTTCTTTTGTGCGTAATTTAGCGGATCAGATAGCTGGTAAAATTCCTAGATTTGCTAGTCACATAAATGGTAAAAAACGATTGCAAACCCACCTGGAACAACGGTGTAATCGAGATCCAATTCAGTGTTTTGTTGTAACAATTATTGCGCCTCTAAAAGAACTGAAAGTCAAACCAGACGACTTTAAATATATTGTTATTGATGGTTTGGATGAATGTACTGAAAAGGACGGAGAAACATCAGCAATATTGGATATGTTTCGTCATAAGATGTCCTGGTTTCCTCAGTGGTTAAAAGTTATTATGAGTTCACGAAACGGAACAACAGCAATTTCAAAAGTACCCCGAACAGTGCAAAGACTGTTTATAAATTCTGATGATGAACGAAATATGGAGGATATTCGGTCTTTTGTTTCGCATTATTTGAGAAAAAAATCTTCTTTCATCAGCAAGCTGTGGAATACAATTTATCCATTAACCGATGAACTAACCAAACATGCGGAAGGAAATTTCTTGTTTGTTAAGACGATATTGGAAAATAATCTAGGGACTGATGGTGCGATTAATATAAATTCAATGCCAAACGGTCTTTACGATATTTATGACCGAGTATTTCAGCGGTATTTCATAAAGGAAGATTCTGCTCGTTTTGAAATCCTGTTTGAAATTCTTTTGGCGGGTGGCTCTTTGCACGAAACGGAGATCGTTGATATTTTTCATAACCAAAATCAAGATAGAGACGTACAAATTCTTCTGGCGCATGTATCTTCTTTGTTGCACTTTGGACAAAATGGAACTGTAAGCATTTATCATCAATCCTTTGCTGAATGGTTATTAAACAATGATAACCGTATTAATGGATTTTCTTTTCAAATACGTCGAGGTCATGGGTACATTGCACATTGTCTCCTTGAAAATACTAAGAAAACAAATATCACCATAACTTTCAAACAGCTTACTCGATTATGTATGCATATTTTAAAATCTGGTGGCCCAAATGATGAGCAGAGAAAGCAGCTAAAGCTGCTTAATGTTACTAAAATTCGTAATCAACAAAATGGTGAATGTATTTTACATGAGCTTGCTCGAAGAGAAAGAGGTTCTCAATTATTGGAAATTTTTCTTCCTAGTTTTTCCTCGGTTGATATTCTGGATCTGGAAGGAAAGCCGCCAGCGTATTATGCAGCATTTGAAGGATTCGTAGATAATCTAATGCTGTTTATTAGTCACGGGACGTGTGCGAATTGTATTCTAAAGGACGTTTCCTCATTCGATGAAATTAAAGCTGCTATGAAACTAACAATATATAAAGAATCCAGTATAATGCATGCTGCAACCTATAATGGTCATACAAAAGTTATTCAAATTTTGCTTCAACACAATGCTTCGTTGATCAAATTTGATCAGTACACACCGACACTGATACATATCGCAGTTGAACGAGGGCACTTAGATCTTATTAAATTGCTTCTTAATTACGGTGTTAAGGCTGACAAGGTATGTCTTCATCACGCTGCGTCAAGAAACCATTTCCACGTTGTAAAGTATCTCATAGAAACTGCAGGTATCAAAGATGAATGCTGGCAGTGTAAGCCTATAAATTCCTTTAACCTTCAACGAAAGAAATTGCACGAAATTCATGATATGTTTTGTGAAACTGCGTTACACGCAGCCGTGTCCAAGCATCATATGAATGTGACAAAACTTTTGCTGAAGTTTAAGAATTCAACTTTGAATTGTAAACATTATTCAGGAAAGACGCCGTTAATGGATGCAGTTGAACGAAATGACACAGAAATAACTGGATTATTACTCGAAAACGGCGCGAATGTAGAAGAAAAATGTGGTAATGAAATATCACTCAACTTTGCAGAAGGTTCTCGTATCCAATATATTTACGGAAAACGATCTTTGTATACTGTTTATCGTGAGAAAACGTCTTGCCCGTGTGGAAATAAAGCTCTTCATCTTTCGGCAAAATACGGATTGTGGCACATGGCGAGATATTTGATTTACAATTGGAATGCCAGTGTACTTGACAAAAATTGCAATGGCGAAACTGTTTGGAAAATCGCTATCCTATCGCATAACGAGGACTTTATTTACCACGTAAATCGAATGCTACTGGATTTGGATGAGTTGGAAGAATTTGGAATATCACAAAATCAACGCCGTACCTTCAGGAAATTATTCAGAAAATTCTTGAAAACAAAACTTTATCAATCCAGTTTTCAGTGTGATTCAACATTTGAAGGAATGTCGCCACTGCATATTGCAGCACTTATGGGTGTAGACATGCTAAATCATGTACATAAAAAAGCTCAGGAAATTGCCCCAAGTATACCTTTAAACTGCACGAATAAACACTGGATTACTCCAAGATATTTAGCGTATTTTTATGATAATATTCATGATGTGACAGATGAAAGACCAAGCCTTCTGAAACAAACTCCACGCGGCAATAATGATTTTGTGAAAACTGTGTTACAATATCCAGACCGTGAAGCTGAGTTTCATTTGATTTACAACTACTTTTATGATGAGCTAGATGAGGTGAAAAAATTTCTTACATATCAAATTTTTAAGTCGTTAGAGAAGTACGATATAACAAACTGCCCAGGATATTATGATATGCCTTCAAAGAAAGCGCTGGAACCATCTTGCGACAAGTACGATTCCAACACTGAAGAAGAAGCAGATGATGATTCCGGAACAGAAGACGATGATGCTACAAATACCGAATTTATGTGGCAAAAAACTAGCAACTGTGTGATTCTTCCTGTGCCTGTTGTAAAAGAAGAATGCAAAGAGCCCACTGAGTTGGAAAAAGTTGTGTTTAATAAACCAAAAATAAAATCTATTCAGGAAATATATTTGAGGTTAAAGTTTGATGAATATATGATAGATTGTGGTTGTCCTAGGATCTTGAGTAAATTGCAAGAAATATTTACTCGATTACCGAAAGAGAATCGTTACGTTAATCAGTTTATTTCCGAAAGAATGGGTTGGAAGGAAACGTCCTCCGACGGGGAAATTTTAAAGAGATGGCCTTTGTATTTTTTTCACAAAAAATTGAGGAATGAATATCAGTCCTACAAATACCTTGACGCTTTAAGTGAGGGTTTTAAGATGAAAAGTATTAATTGACGCGAGTCTTAATGGAAACGATTAATTATATAGCATGCATATTAGGACAAAATAATATATTTTACATCTCATATTTTTAAAAAATTTAACTTGCATGTAATGCATGTGCATGAATTTTAGTATAGTGTTTCTATTTTGCATACCGAGTGGCGCTGGGAGCGTGAAACTGCCTCCAAGCAGTTTTTCAAGGCTTCTTAACCTTCATTTTTTCTATTGGTAACTTCTATTAACATGTTTATATTCTTATTATGTACTTCTAATGTAGTCAGTATATCGACAATCGTGCGTTAAAATTGGGGAAAAAGGTTTAAACTCGAAATTGTACCCCGCCGTTCTAGTGGAAAACAGCCTTTATAGTCCCGCAAAGTTTGCAATTTTGTAGGTATGCTTCTCAAAGGATATGACTTCGTGTCCAGAAACATGCAAAATTTTTCAAGTAACTTTAAATTATCGGCCCTGTATTCTTATGAAACCTCTGATTTGCAGATCTGACTTATAATGTGTAAAAATAGCCTTTGTTGAAATGACCGACCACTATAAACCTCTACGTTCGCCGTTCACAACACCCCCCAGGCAAGGTATACGTCCCTGGCTGAAGAATTGCAAAATTCTGCAACTATAATTGCTATTTAATAGCTGACATTACCAACTTGCGGTGGAGCTTTTATATAGTATCGTAAACTGATACATAGTTCTTAAGCGTGATCGTATACTAATTTTAAAACAATTGTTATAAAATTATTACTTTATATTTTGTTCTTGAATGTTGTCATGCTATATTACATCTAGAAAAAATGAATTGAATCAGGGTTACGATATAGTTCATAATTATGATACTATAATGTGATGAATGCAAGACTTTACTGTACATGCAGACAATAGCATAAAGTGCATTATCAAGTGGTTATGGAAATGGAAATATCAGTTTTGTCTTACTTTCCAGTGATTGAGGTCAATCTTAGGAATACTGCTGCAAGGTACTCGCTGAACATCATTGTTGATTGCACGGAACGTATTCTTTTGTACAGTCAGTTTTTTACCACCTTTCAGGTTATCACAAAGTACACGACTTAACGAACTCTTTTTTATTTCTTGAAGTTGAGATCTTGTAAATACTTTTCCTCTTCGGTAAAAGAAGCGATCTCCATCTCTAAGACGAGCAAACTGTTCCTTAATAAGACAAGTGAACGTGGGACCAAGTAGCGAACCTGGCAAAGGACGTTCTGCTATTCCTGCCACAAACAAATCTGCAATAGTTGGATCATCTTTGTATAACGTTGCTAAAATCTTCCTGTTCTCTGGCGTGATTTCTTTTATGGTATCTTTGAATGATCGGGCGTCGGATAGTCCACAATATCTCCTAAAATCATTGTATCCAGGCAAACCATGATCTCTTCCTCGTTGAATATTCAAAGCAATCAAGTTCAGTCCCGGCGAGTGATCACGCTCAAATAAGTGATTCATAATTCCAGCAGAAAAACTGCGGTCGACCTTTTCTGCTTCAAACGTACACAGACCAAGCAACAAATGATCAATTCCATGCCTGTTGATATACGTGTTGTTAAAAAACATGTGTTTGAGCGGTATCGGTGCCCCTACCTTACGATGATTTTCGTCCAGAATATCGAAAGATGGTCGAATGGTGCTGTGTCCAAATCTATATGCAGCCGCTGCTACTGAATTAATAATCCCAGGATTAATCCAGTATTTGTATCCAGAATACCGCGGTAAAGGATTATGACCAAATAATTCAGGCAGGTAATCTTCGAAAGTGATCTTTTGTAAGATTCCTCCAACAATCTTTCTTGTCTCTTCGTAAACAGTGTCTCCTGTCCAATGAGGGTTAATTTGAATCAATTTTTTTGCGATACGGTTGTGCTCTCTAACAAACAATGTATGAATTGAAGCCAATGCCACTTGTTCACTTGATCTGGTATCTCCAGCTAA